TTGGCTAATTGTCGGACTCTGGTTCTCCTTGTTATAGTCCGATACCTGTGCTTCAAACATTTCCAAATTAACATTGAGGTGTTCGGTAAGATAAATACGTTGTTCACTGGTCCCTCGGGGCCCATGGGTTGATGTACCCTTTAGGGGTTGTTCACTGGTCCCTCGGGGCCCATGGGTTGATGTACCCTTTAGGGGTTGTTCACTGGTCCCTCGGGGCCCATGGGTTGATGTACCCTTTAGGGGTTGTTCACTGGTCCCTCGGGGCCCATGGGTTGATGTACCCTTTAGGGTTTAGGGAACATAAACAAACATAAAGAGTGCATCAATCCATGTCCCCCTCATGACCAGTGAACAACTTATAATGGTCTGTAATGGCAGGGGCGGATTACAGCTTTTGAGAAAAGGGGTGCACACTATTGAGAAAAGGGAGGTGCACACTTCATTTTCACCCGAAGTTTCAATGGTCATTTAATAAACTTTCAGGAGGAAGTATTGCAGAGGCGCACCCTGCATCCCCCTCTGGATCCGAAAATTTCTATTGGTAATGGTCTGTAAATAATCTTGTCAGGTCACAACAGTCCTCACTTGATTGACCAGAAGAGTGTCAATCTATGCAGTTGGATAACAGTGGCAGTGAGCCTAATTACCGAATCTTGTTAGTCGACTTTTGACAAGCGTGTGTTGCTGGAGGCCATTTCTTACCGGAATCTTCACTGGTAGTCTGATCTGATATAACTGTACCGATTCATACAATCTCATAAACATCAGATCACTATACAGTGATTAAAGGACACCTATTACAGGTCACAAGAAAACAATGTTTTGGTTTAAACATATTTTTATTCATGATAATGAATTAGGATAGGTGAACAAGCTTTACAGCTTACGTTAACACCGCTCCCATACAACATATAATACAAAATGAAATGGAGGATGTGACGTCATCAGTTATGACTAATATAAATACAATATGTATACAACATCAAATAAAAATATTCTATAAGTAAACATATATAGAGAGTTATGGTTTTGTGTCTAACAAGTCATTTGTAAAAATATTAATCAATCATGAAAAGGTTGTTGTTGAGTGAATTTGATTCAAGTATCAAGTATTTTCTGGTTTTCACAGAGTGTAAGCTCATTGTTTCTGTTCATAATGGTATCCAGGTTATAACTAGTAGTATAAAATACATATTAAGGCTTATCTGAGTATAGTTACCGCAGGTGAAGAAATAATGAACAATGTTTTATCCAACCAATCTATACGTTTTCTAATCATGTGGCCTTGAAAAGGTCAGCATGGAGCATTCCGAATGATAGTTACATACTGTGCAGTTGATTCTGATTTACAGATATCATCTGTGAGTTTTTCACTTCTTTCAGATAAGCATCTGAAATAGGAGCGACTATCCATATCCTTTGGGAAATGCTGCCATACAATCTTGGCAATCTATTAGACATTCCAGATTTTATAGAACTTTTTCAAAATATGTCATTGCAAAGTTGTGGATGGAAGTTGCCACTTTGAAACTATTGGAAAGAGGATTTTTGTTGACTTATCTTAACTTCTTTTAATGGTTTCATTGGTTGGTGAAAGATGGAAGAAGGTTGTTGTGTCAGACCTTTAATCACGTGTTTGAATAGCAGGGTCAGTGGGGTAGCCTAGTGGTTAAAGCTGGCATATTGCTAAACACAGTGTAAGACCATACACACTTTGATTAGCAGTTGTGAGTACTGAGGTTTTTTGTCATTCAAGTCCCTGGAATATTGTAAACTGGTCATGAAACCTAACCCAGTCACTGGCTCGAGGGTCTTGTTACAGGGTTCTTACTACCCAGGTGTTGCTTGATTAGGTTGTGACTGATAATGTTGTGGTTGATTAGGTTGTCATATAACCATAAGAGACAGATAAATGTAACAATACTCACTTGCTTACCTGTTGCTGTTAAGCCTGTTACTTCATTCGGTAGAAAAGACTTGTTAGAGCAGATCGTCTACCCCCAAGACTGAATCTGGTTCATAGACCACAGAGAATTCAGCCCTCAGTCATTTCATTCAGCTCCATTCAGTTGAAAGTACTGGTAACCCATTGTGATGGTCAGTGACAAGCCTAGGAGCCCCCTGTACATGAAGTTGTGATGTTACGGTCCAGTAACACAGACACTAGGATGGGGTTGGAGGCCATCAAACACTGGTTCTCTCAAAGGTTTGCCTTTTCTGTTTTCTTAAAATACTTTTCAGTCAGTTTTTCCACTCCGGACTTAGGTGGCCCCTGAGCATGGAATTAAAGACAATTAAAGCTGAGTTAGTATATGTAATGTGGTAGAATTTTACCTGAGATGCTAACAATCTGAAATAGTGTCATGGACGTCCTATTGAGATAGAGTTCAGCTAATCCTAAGAATACCTTTTACATTAAGCTGACCTCAGTTTACTAGTGAGTTTCTGTTCCTATTTTATGTGACACCTGTTCAGCAAAGGTGTTCATTGTGCTAAATTACAGACTCAGGAGGAAGGGACTGTGTGCATAGCTTTCTGTTAGTAAGTCGGTCCATGTTCAAGTGACAGTAGCTTTGTGTTGTCTTTCATTTGCTTTCACAAGCTTGAAGAACATGGGGAATAAAACTATGGGGATATAAAACTTCTTAGATATTTATAACCTTTCAGGACTTACACTACGTCATCGGGTTAAAGAAATTACTTTTGTTACCATACCTATAGACTGTAGGTGTGAGCATATCCAGGTACTGTCATATTCAGGTGTTGGCATACCCAGGTACTAGCATATGCAGGTATTGACATATCCAGCTACTGGCATACCCTAGTTCTGGCATACCCCAGTACTGGGCAGGCAAGTGGAGGACATGGCCAGGGGCCATTTTGTCTTTGTGATTTGTGAAAATATCGCCCTGAGGCACTGAGGACAGCCTGTACATAAAGAGTGTTGCTGGGATCACAAGTTGAATTGTTACTGAAGAAAAACTCCAATGTTGTCTTTGTCTTCGTTATTGTTGTGTCAGTTGTTTTCATATTGTGTTTGTTGCTTCTTTAGAGGAACAGGGACGGTGGTCAAAGCGGTTGCTCATCACATCGATGACCCTGGTTCGATTCCCCACATGAGTACAATGTGTAAAGCCCGATTCTGGTGTCCCCCGCCGTGATATTGCTTGAATATTGATAACAGTGGTGTAAAAATAAACTCACTCACTTGCTGGGGTGGTGGGGTAGCCTAGTGGTTAAAGCGTTCGCTTGCCACAACGAAGGCGATTCCCCACATGGGTACAATGTGTGAAGTCCATTTCTGGCGTCCCCAGCCGTGATATTGCTGGAATATTGCGTAAAACCCAACTCGCTCACTATATACATGCCATAAGGTCAAATACTTTCTAACCAGTGGATTTCTTAATTACATTAATAAGACTATGTGATCTTTTATTTTGACCAAGAGGTTTAGAATGATTACAGTTGACTCATACAAGCAACAATTCACATCTGTATCTTTTGGCAAATAACTATATTTCATTTAAAGAAGCAAAAGTTATTCGTTACTGGTTGGGTAATATATAAATGGCAAATTGGCATAATGCATGTTGACCAGATATAAAATGCATCAGTTCCAGATATAAAATCTTTTTTAAACCACATTAATCAATAATCCTCAATTAAAAAAGATCCGCAAAATCCTTCACAGCCTGGCAGTGAAGTAAATAACGTTCTAAGATATCTATGGCCTACACTGATCACAGGCAGTTTATTTTGCCACAGTTGCATTTTTAGAAGGGTGATGCGTATTGGGGATTTTATGTGTGCTTCAGGTGGAGCCAGTTTGACACGTTTGACAGTGTTGGAGACGGTGATAATTTGGAGATTGCCTGTATGCTTTCCATCATAATGCATATTTTGCACATTGGCCTCTGTCCATTTAGTATTCATATTGATGATGATGATTATGGGTTTAACGTCGGCTTCTGGCTGTAGCCATATTGCAGATATGAAGTTGTTCCATATATACCCCAGCTGATAACCCGATATATCCAAGATTTTAAGTAGTTACCACTGAGAAGGTGTTTCTTGTCACCAAATGAGCACAGGTGTTGTTGTAGTCATGTGTTGTTTCAAGAATCAGTGAACCGCTACAACAACGTTTCTCTATGAACACATGCTTGATAGACATGCATTGACAGCACTGTGGAGATGGAGCTCCTGTCGTTGGTTGAGTCTCCTGTCAGTCAGTAGGTATTGTTATTTGCTATCCCTGTAAGTGTTGTCCTATCTCCTCGTTAACCCCTTCATAGCTTATGACCACAAATAGTGGATCAGAGATATTACTCCCCATAGTTCCTGGTTTTGGGTGCAATATGAGATTTATCGCCCAGTGAATACAGACATCAGTGTTGCTGCAGCAGAATGTTGTTGCTAGTTTTATGCTATCTCTGGAGCTGATAACTAAGATGATTTCTTTGTACAATGGTGTGATAAGTTCTCCATCTCCATCTCATGGATCAGTACTTAAAGCTGTAACACATGAAGATAGGAACAGTTTCTGTTCTTGATCTGGAAGTGTGACAGTCATGGTTTGGGCAGGTCTTATGAAGCTCTTCAGATGTTTTGCAGTAACTCCAAGGTTTGTAGTTGTGGGTGGTTGTGACTTGGATTTGTGTTGATCATGGCTTCTGTACAATATTTATTGAAATATCTCCAAAATATGATAGGTTGTCAGTATCCTTGGTTCTATCACAATTACTCTTTCCGTTGTATTGTTTCCACTGTAATATTTACACCTACTGGCAGATGTTTGAGTTACAACGGAGAGCGTGGGGTAGCCTAGTGGTTAAAGTGTTCGTTCATCACGCCGAAGGCCCGGGTTCGATTCCCCACATGGCTACAATGTGTGAAACCCATTTCTGATGTCCCCTGCCATGATATTGCTGGAATATTGCTAAAAAGCGGTGCAAAACCATACTCACTCACTCACTAATTTATCTTGTGCAATTTTGCAGATTGAATCGCAGTGCGAAGGCTGCCAGTGACGCAGAGTATCCTGCATATGGGGTGACGGGTCCCAACAAGGAGCGCCTGCCCTCGCCCGGGGACCGCAAGCTGGCCCAGAGTGCACAGATGTATCACTACCAGCATCAGAAGCAGCAAATGATCGCCATGGAGAAGTGAGTAGACACTCATCCTTTGCGGACCTCAGATTGGGGTCATGACAGGTTCCTTGTGTTCCACGCAGTTTGTTATAGCTGACTTATTTAGTCCAGTTAGTCTGTTGCAACAGGAACTATTTGGCCCCAGACAGGTCTTTGGTATCCAACGTTTGTAGTAATTTCCCCCACAGGCCTCCAGAACAAGAAAAACTTTTCATGAAGGTGTTTGGTCACTTTACTCAAAAACTACAAGTACAATCGTTTTCTAATTTGGCATGATGCATTATAATTGTTCTACCATTGTGAATTTTTAATTTCATGAATTATGATTTAATAATAAAAAATTTGTTTAACAAACTATTATTAAAATATTGACACAGTTCACTATTTGTTACGAGGGAGGAGTGCAGAGAGAGGAACAGCCAGGTGTGCTGTTGATTCATTTACCTGTGCTAGCTCCCATATCTTAACTTAGGCTTAAGGTAGTCTTAGCGCTAAGGTTGTTTTGTACAACGACATCCAGGCCCTGAGTGCCCCATGCTGTTTGTTATAGCTGACTAACTAGTCCAGTTAGTTGGATGTTGTTGGAGTCAACTATTTGGCCAAAAAGGGTATTTGGTGTCCAGCGTTTGTGTTAGTGCAGTATTTGCCCTAGGCATTAAAATGTAGAAGTCATTCTAACTCCCTGGTGTCATGAGAGGGAGTCATGGATATGTTTTGGGGAGTCAACTTCAGTTTGGAACTTTCATCAAGACAGGACCTGAAATCAGGTCAGGTATTTAATCAGCACTGAGCAGTTAACTGGTAAACATTAAGCTACGTAGCAAATTACAGCAAATTACAATATGTCCTCAAACTTAAACTATAGTACATCAAAATTATAGTACATTAGAAGTTTAGATTATCTGAACTAAGGGCCCAGTAGCATTGCATCAAAAATGATGCAAGCTTCTAAATTCACTGCATATTTGAGATAATTTATGCAGCAAATACACAGGTTTTCTGCATCATGGCAAACACTGGTTAGTGGACCAGTTATGTCAAAACAGATCCGTGGCGGTGGGGTAGCGTAGTGGTTAAAGCGTTCGTTCGTCACGCCGAAGACCCAGGGTTCGATTCCCCACATGGGTACAATATGTGAAGCCCATGTCTGGTGTCCCCCGCCGTAAAAAAGCTGGAATATTGCTAAAAGCGGCGTAAAACTAAACTCACTCAATACAGATCCCAAGTAACAGGTGCCTAGTATGAACCCCATAGTATCTCAATGGTTACAGAGGGGTGATGGGGTTCAAGTGTAAGTCTTGTACCACTGCCTCAATTATAGGCCATTGTGCTGTACACTGACATAACCACCAGATGGGTTAAGTAGGTCAGGTGCTTTGGACTGTGAAGTTCAAACTGGATTATCAAGTCTACGTATTTCGTTAAGTCACGGCCACTTATGATATAAATAAATAATATTGTAAGGACTGCAAATGCTGTTACATAAACAGTCGAAACGAGCAGGTGGTTCATTCATTATAAGATAAGCTTATAATCCCTGAATTAGAGACTTTAGGCTGGGGAATTTCAGTTTGGTTTGTGCATGTCTGTGTAATGTGCTATAACTATTCAGGATAGTGTTCAGCTGACCATTACTGAAGCCTTTTGGTCAATATCACATGTACTTATCAGAAGGGTATACAAAGTCTGCAGTCTAGACTACCAGTTGTCTGACTTCCATTTTTGTGGAAGGTACGGTGGGTGAGCGGGTTAGGCAGCTTACTTTGTGTGCAGGCGATTAAGTGCCTGACTCTGATGGTGTGGGTTCGAATCCCGGATGGGACTCAACACCCAAAAGTTCTAGAATCTACTTTACAGAGAAAGTGTAATCTCAAATGTAACATATGTTACGTAGGAATACTGTAGTCAACATATAAAATGACTGTCCCCGATTTGGTTATATCTCCATTGTGTCAATATGCTTATCAGTTAGACAGACAACATGCAACATCTCCATTAACATGTTACATAGGAATACTGTAGTCAACATATAAAATGACTGTCCCCGATTTGGTTATATCTCCATTGTGTCAATATGCTTATCAGTTAGACAGACAACATGCAACATCTCCATCAATCGGGGCAGTGGTGTAGCCAAGTAGTTCAAGTTCATGTCGAAGACCTGGGTTCACTTCCCCATATGGTAAAATGTGTGAAGCCCATTGTGGTCTCCCCAACCTGGAATATTGCTAAAAGCGGCATAAAATTAAACTCACTCAATCTCCAAGCCTTCAGCAATTTGTCTACATCCTTTAGTTGTCTTTGGTTCTCTTACATTGACTGTTACTTTCTTTCTGGGCATAGTTAGGTTTGTGTTTCATTATCACCTGTCTCAGCAACATGTCATTTATAAGAAGGCTCAGACATGAGAATTTTCCACGGATTTCTGGGATTTTTAGAGGTTTTAAAGATCGATGTAAATCTGCAAGAATAGACCCCCAAGACCCCTGGCTAAATTTTCAGTGTTTTTGTGCTTTGCCATTATAATGTCTGAGGCCGCACATAAAGAAGCAGATCTGGACCACAGAAACTAGTGATCGATGTCATAAGCAACAATCCACATCAGTGATGAATTTGTAGTCAGTTTTGTCAACGAACCTGACCAGTTGTCACATCTTTTAGGGGCGGTGGGTTAGCCTAATGGTTAAAGCGTTGGTTGTCACGCCGAAGACCCGGGTTCGAATCCCCACATGGGCACAATGTGTGAAGCCCCCGCCGTGATGTTGCTGGAATATTGCTAAAAGCGGCGTAAAACCAAACTCAGTCAGTCACATCTTGTAACAAACACTGTTTGCTGGGGACCTGTTCAACTGTGAATTACAGGGGTTAGAGAGTGCAGAATTCAACTGGAAAATGCAAATGTATGTATGTAGAAATAGTAATGGGCTGTAACATGATCCACAGTGAATGCAGTGAGAAGACATCAGTAACATGGACTGCCAAATGGTGTTTCACAAATAGATTCAGTGAGGCAAATAATTCATGTTAACAGCTGTCAGAAGTGGAAAGGAGAATTACATTAATAGATGATTATATCCATCAGTGCCAGATTGTTCAAGGGTCACTTCTAAGTCTGTATGTCATTATTTATTGAGACAACAAAACAAAGTCGATGTGTTTTGAATGGTAGAAATATACCCATAAGTAAACCCACGTGTAATTTAAAATGTGAGAATAACAGAATGTATTCACTTATACACAGTAAAACACACGTTCAACTTTACTGTAAAACACAGTATTATCATTGGTTTTATGCAACTTTACTGTAACCATGGTAACACATAGGTTGAACTTATGCTACTTTACTGTAACACATGGATAGACCCGTGAAGATCCGGGTTAGAATGAACCTTCAGTAACCCATGCTTGTCGGTTCCCAATTGTGCAGATCGATGCTCATGCTGTTGATCACTGGATTGTCCAGCCTTGATTATGTCAAGCTTCGATTATTTACAGAACGCCGCCATATAGCCGGAATATTGCTGAGTGCGGCGTAAAACTAAACTCACTCACTCACATGGATAGGTTGACTATAAGCAACTTCACTGTATCACTGTTACCATGGTAACACATAGGTTGGTAGGTTGGCCATATTTACCTTCATTGTGTCTCCCATCAGTTGGTCTTATGCAATTTTGCTGTAACCGTGCCAACAGATAGGTTGGCCTTATGCAACTTAACTGTATCTCACAGATAGGACGGGTCCAGGTTATGTGCCTGCAGCACTGTTGGCTCTGGTGATGTCATATACTGAATTTGTTTCTATGCTGTGTGATGTAGATCCAGAAACGACCGCAGTGGGAATTGTGGACACCTTCTACGCAAGAGTGTCAGCTTGATGGATAATATATTATTTAACACGTGTGGTCATGTGGAATTAGCTGTAGATGTCTTCCGTCTCAGGTTTCAGATCTTACATATCATATAAGAATTAACTGGACTGATAAGTTTCTCCAGTAACCTGTGCTTGTACCAGTCCCTAGAGCAAAGTAAAAAATATTAAGCTGCACGTTAGAATTGGATTTCTGAAACCCATGTTTTTGGTATCAGACAACTAACAGAATCGTATGTTCATGCTCACAGACTTGCTTAGTACACAGTCACTAGTCCAGGCTTGATTATATACAGACACAATAGCAGGAATTGTTCTGAGAGCAGTGTTGTACATATTGAAATATGTGTCAGGTGGTATTTATATTCCAGTTACATGATTCGGTGCTCATGATGTTAACCACTTGTTTGATGATAATCAATGATTGAAAGTGTGAATGAGTATTTACACATCATTTTTAAACTGAATATGAATGAGTTGGTTTTCATGTGTACAATTTTGTCCCTATTCTTTATATTACACTACCGTGAAGATCTGGCAGCTTAGAATTGGTCTTGAGCAACCCATGTATGTTTGGATCTGGTGGTCAGATTCGCTGACTCGGTTGACACATGTTTTCGTAGAACGATGCTGATGATGACTGTATTATGAAATACACAATGCCATTTAGAAAGTGGTCAAATGTAACATATGTTATATTTGGGATTACACTTTCTTAGTAGTGCAGATTCTAGTACTTTTGGGGTTGGGTCCTATCCGGAATTTCGAACCCACACCCTCAGCGTCAGGCACCTAATTGCCAGCACACAAAGTCAGACGCCTAGACCGCTCAGCCACTGCGGCTTCCACAAAAATGGAAGTCAGACAACTGGTAGTCTAGACTGCGGACTTTGTGTACCCCTCTGATAAGTGTTAATTGGCACGACTCTACCCAAAAAGTACTAGAATCTGTACTTTACTAAGAAAGTGTAATCCCAAATATAACATGCTACAGATGACTGGTTTGTTTGGTCCAGACTCAAATATCTACCGACCTCTATCATACAGCTGATATATTCCTGAGTGAGGCCTGAAACAACAAGCACACCAAACTAAACAAAATTAACAATATACTTAAGTGTCTTATGATGTGTATACTTTTCTTCAGAGCCAATGGTGAAATGAAGCATGATGCTTCTGATGAGGAGTCGGAGGAGGAGAATGAGGAGGGAGATTACACAGTGTACGAGTGCCCTGGACTCGCGCCGGTAGGTCTCACTTTATTTTTGAACTGTATGTCTTCAAATAGATGTACTGTACTCCCCAACAAGAAAATGCCTGCCATGACTCAGAGTCAGGATCAGCAAATTGAGAATGTTCAACATACAATGAGAAATCATAAGTAGTGCATACCACATATCTTTCTGTAAGGCCAAAAAATACAAACTAGAACACTGCTTTGAATAGATACATGTCAGGTGCTCTGTAATATGGCCATAGGATTTACACTGCCATAGGATTTACACTGCCGTAGGATTTACACTGCCATAGGATTTACACTCCCATAAGATTTACACTATCATAGGATTTACACTGCCATAGGATTTACGCTCCCATAGGATTTACACTATCATAGGATTTACACTGCCATAGGATTTACACTACCATAGGATTTACACTCCCATAGGATTTACACTATCATAGGATTTACACTGCCATAGGATTTACGCTCCCATAGGATTTACACTATCATAGGATTTACACTGCCATAGGATTTGCACTGCCATAGGATTTACACTACCATAGGATTTACACTGCCATAGGATTTACACTACCATAGGATTTACTCTACAGTAATAACTCATCAGCACATGGTCAAAATGGCTTTAGAAAATCAACCACAAACTTATAAATATTCTCACTATTTAGAATTTTGTTGTTGATTTTCTTAAGCCATGTTGACCGAGTCAGGAAGTTGGATTTAATTCCAGTTACAGCATTACGGCGTAAAGTGTCAGAAAAGCCAGAAATAGTGTGTATCTCTGATGTATGCCGCTTTCCTGTCAACTACAGTTTGGACATGGTGTTGACAAACCTAGAAACGTAATCATGTCAGACAGGAAGATTTTAAACTATTATGGACATTTAAAATAACAAGGAATATTTTTGCTATGTTGACACTTGACTTTTCTTTCATTCAGACAGGGGAGATGGAGGTTAAGAACCCCTTGTTCAGCGATGAGACGCCGGTCACGCCCAGCGCTGGTGATGCAGAAAAGGACGGGGAAAACTAGACCACTCTGTCTTAGCAAATACACTGTTGTCATGGCAACCATGATGTAACCACTTGTGCAGTTGTGATGTCATTTTCTGCCTAGTCAAGGGTCAACAGCAAGTCTACAGATGTCATCAACAGATTTGTGATGCCATCAAAATAGAGATCTTTCCACAGGCTCCATTGTTTTTCTGAATTCTCATGTACAGGAAAGCTGTCGGAAATGCAACCTGGTCTTTAGAAAGTGCCATGATTTCATTTGAAGACTGCGGACAAATTCAGCATTTAGAAAATGGTTGCCATGACAACAGTGTTTGATAATCTTTGTGCTGTCCTGAATATAGTTTTGTCCCTTCTTCCTGTTCTATCAGATGTTATCAGATGTGATAATCCTTCTAGCATTATCAGTGCTACTTGTCTCATTACCTTCTATCAACATCAGTTTTGCATGGAAATACAAGAATAATGAAATCTTTCTCAAATTAGCGTGTTGTGGCTGAGGTTATAAAATTGGTATAAAAATGGTGTTAAAATTGTGTTCCCCCTGCAAGACTCTGTACGTGTATATTGTGTTTGGTTGTGATCTGTCCATCTTGTATAGTAATTCACTGCTAAGTATAGTGTTTGTGGGATGAGGGTTGATGTCGCCCTATGGGTCGTAGGTTCAGCATCGTATAATTTGGACATGGGTTGGTACTTCTTCTTCTCTGCATAGCAAATCTGCATATCTCTGGCATGAAACAAACAACATGTAGAGAAAAAAAAAATGGTTCCGACATCGAATTATGTTCATATGCTTTTTTTGGATTTTTGGTACAGAAAACCATTTTATTGCACTTAACAAATTTACTATGCAGAAAAGTTCGATTTGGTTTAATACAATCAAAACTAGACTTGTAACATAGAAGCACAGGCTTAGGTTGAGGGATATTCAATCGACTCAGGGAACCATGGCCAGAGCTTTCCTCAACCTAACCTTCTGCTACAGCTTTGAATTTCAATTACATTTGAAAAGGTAAATAGAACTATCACAGAAAAGGTGATTCTTTAGAATAGAATTTTCTGGCACAGTCAGGGATGAGAATTTTCCGCGGATCCGGGAATTTCATAAGGCCAAGAGTCATTTTGTGAATCGTCCAAACCCGATAGATGCTAAACACCCGGCTAGTTTTCAGAGCTTTTCTCATAACTTCCTTCTCATCCCTGCACAGTACTTAGGTAATGCTTGTGAAATAGTATTGGAAGAATCGTTGATCCTTAACTTATTTTGAAGAGTATAGATGCAGAATGTTAAGTTGATCATCACACTGTGGCTGTACCTCCTAGTCAAATGTTTCCTAGTCATGTACAGCAAGCTCTGGTCCGTGGCCTTCCCTCAATATACCATGGTTCTTGTAATAGTAATGGCTGCTCTTACCTATATCTGGCATTGTTTGTCACACACTACAATCATTGTTGCTGCATTGTTAATGAGTGTATCTTTTTTCTCTTTGTACTGAGTTGTTCACGGATATTCATGTCACCTTCAATGCAAAAAAAGAAATGAAATGACTAACTTATTCACATGGCAACTGTGAATAGCCGACCAATATTAACATTCCATTGTTAAGCATTTTAAAGTTTGAAATCATTGACATATTTAGTGGAAAATTATTGAAACTATTAGGCCATTTCAATATGTTAATATGTGATTTTAACCATAAATATATTTTTTCAATGAAATATTAGAATTCTGGTTTTTCTATCCAGAGTGTCATTTACATGACAGTTTTGCTGACTCAGCTCTTTTATTTATTTCCTCTTTTATTGTTTTAGTTTTATTGCAATATCTTTTCTTTTACTCAACATCTGTGCAACATTCCATATACACAGTCTGAAGTATTGTCAGAATTTTTTCACACTGACAAGATAGAATCTCTGGTTCATTTTATGAATTCTTAGTTAAGTATACTGCTTCGGAATTATATTTATATTTTTCTAAAACTTTCTCATTTTAATACACTAATAACTTAAAAAAATAAAGGTTATGCCCACAGAAGCCATTGACAAAGACATGGCTGCGACCCATGCTTTATTGTAAAAACCCATTTTACCACTCTATCAAAAGGTGATGGTCATTTTGTCTGCCTTTCCCCATGGGTGAAGAGGAAAGTTAATTGATATCATGTGTCAAATTATTCCAAAAATCATAATTCCTAAATTCTTTCTTTTCTGTAGAGATCTTTTTCCAAGCAGTGCAATAAACTTAAATCGTTGATCACGTAGTTCATTGCTCTTAACGTTGATCTCTGATATTTTGTCAGTACATGATTGTGGAGATGAGGTTTATTTATTGGTTGTCATAGTTACCGTTGTGGCGCGCATGTGTCACAGCAACATTGTGTTAGTAGTCTGTATAAAGCTTTGTTTCATATTGCCATCATAAGAAACTGTATAATTGGGTCTGCAGATGAATACAAACTGTAAATCCGTTCCGTTAAGTACATTCATATGGAATGACTTGTTTGGAAATCTCAACATTTTTTTAGTAATTGGTATTGAGGAATGTAACAGATTAATTATTTTTTCTTTTGTAATGGCACTTTTAGATGATTCACGTAATCACTAATTATCGCCATTTTGGTCATTCCATCCTGGTAAAGAGACAATTTGCTGTGTCAGCAACATTCACAATGCTGCTAGTCCCCTGCAGATCAATAAAGGTCACAAACTCCTTGTGGGTATTCACAGCAACATGCTTAAGGACGAAGCAAGCTAGTAACTTGGGCTGTTTTGCTGATGGATTCACCACTTTCCTGTACATTTGTTGAAGTTTTAAAGTGTAAAGTGTGTGATTTTAGGCTTGTGAAAGCCGTGATAGAGAAAGACTCCCAGGAGGGAGTGGGCCTGTTGACATGTTGATGGTCACCACTGTTTCTTTGCATTTCTCTCTTCTTTGTCAGCAATATGGAATAAAACTTGTTGAGAAAAAAACATGTGTTTTGTCTGAAATGAGAATATACATAACGCGCCTTTTCCAGGCTAGATATCCTGCTCGAAGCGCACAATTTGATCGTTACCCTGGATAACCCAAGCTGCCTGCCAAGTGCTAGAAGGTTAATGGTCTCACGACTTATTTCACTGGGTACCCATTTTCTGCTTGAACAGAGGCAATTTTGAACAAACTCACTTGCCTATGGCGAGACCACATGTATCATATGTGCTTCGTTTGGGGGTCAGGACTGAAGTTCTAGAAACGGTGGCATCACAGGATGTTGCTTACTGGAACAGAATGTCATCAACCAGGGTGGCCTCAATGATTTGGTTGTTTATCTCAACACTTTTCAGGCAGCCCTGTGACTGATATTATTAGCAAAGATCCACACCATCTTGACACACAATCAAGCAAATCACAGAGCAAGAGAACCCAATCCAGGACATGACCATCGTACAAGCATTGGTTCCTGGGTGCCTATTTTAGTGAGGAATCCCCCCATCTACCATGATTGTCACTGCAATGAAAACCTGAAATGTAAGGTGTTGGGGTTCAAATACAAAATAGCATACACTGCTACTGTGCTGTGATCATTTGCTAGATCTTCCAAAGTCTTTATATGTTGGTACAAAATCAAAATGAAACCCTACATCACCTTCAAGATATTTGCATTAATACAATGGCAAGTGTGCCTGTACGCATACAGTAGTCCAGAATACTACTGAGATTCCATACTGCAATTTAACATGGACACCTTACTCAGATGCAGTTTTCTGACTCCCAGCTGACAAGTTCTAGCTTTATCCCCTAATACTGAGAAGTAAGTTCTTTTAATGTCTTTTGGTAGGACACCACTGAGGCAGATGCTATTCCTACTATACATTGTGAATAGATGTCGGCAGAGTATGTTCTACACAGAATTTCAGGGGTCACAACGGGATGACAATAACCTGTATGATCCAACGATGGGGTCAGCTGTTACTCATACTGTATTGTCATACAAGTCAACAATCATTGGGTCATAGTTGGTCTGCAGGTATCCATACTAGACATAAGAGACATAAATCGTAGGATCAGAATAGGCCGGCTCTTTCTCTCACCTGTCATAAAAGCAATCAGAATGGGTTTGCAGTTCACATAAATAAGACATTTAGCGAAATATAGTTTCCATTTTCAGGAGTGAGTGAGTGGGTTTAGTTAAATGCTGCACTCAAGCAATATTCCAGCTATTTGGCGGCGGTCTGTAAATAATCGAGTCTGGACCAGACAATCCAGTGATCAACGGCGTGAGCATCAATCTGCGCAATTGGGAACCGATGACGTACCAACCAAGCCAGCGAGCCTGACCACCCGATCCGGTAGTCGCCTCTTATGACAAGCATTGGTTACTGAAGGTTCATTCGAACCGGGACCTTCACGGTTACATCAAGGCATGAGTGAGTAGGCTTGAGTAGACACAATAGGAGTGTGATTGCTGTGAATAAAGCAGACCGAAGTTATAATTATTGGTAACTACCAGTTGTCTTGTGGTCTGAGTTGGCTGAGATTAGGACCCCATCATGGGGGGGTCGGCTTATGTACGAAACATACCATTTTGACACTGATTTTAAGGTTCAAGTTAGGGGGGTCGGCTTATCTATGAGATTGGCTTATCTACGCTAATATGCGATATTTGTCGTACAAACCACCTACTGTGGGGTCAGGAAAGCTCCACAGTATCAAATATCCGATGTATGGTCTTAAGTAACCCATACTTACACCCATCTTACACACTTGTCATCTAACGGACAACAAACTTTGTCCTTCCTTTACCATAAGGCATTAATGGATACAACAAGGACTGGTCGGCTCGGAGTCAGTATAATGAGTCTAAGTGGGGTATTCATGCTTCACTGCGGCATGGTATCTCAGTGGGCTAGCACTATAAAACCAGCTTAAGTCTGGGGTAGTACAAGCAGCCGCACATACACATACACACGCATGCACGTCGTCATATGAGCGAAATATTCTCCAGCGCGACGTTAAACCCAATTTCACCTCACCTCACCTCACCTCCTTTACCATAAGAACCCGTCTCCCTCTGTAAAATCATCTGCTAGAGAAGAGTTATCAAAACAGTACACAAGTCCGCCCCAAACTACCGAGAAGTCTGTGTCAGTGAATACATTAAAACAGTGTCCATCACCAGTCACATAGATTATCAGCTTAGTAATTGACTAAATTAAGTTATAGTACCATTCCACAGGTCTGGAGCTGTTCAATTAAACCCATAGTGACGTACTTAACACTTGTCATCGATCTGCAGACTATGTTCAATCTTCCACTTTCACCCTAGTGCTCCAACATAACAATCACTTGATATAAAGATCCTGAACACAGTGGTATTGACTCAGTATTATACTAGGCGCTAACTGCACCATATAGACTCACAAGGTAGCACCTAGACTTGCACAAGTCTCTAGGGTAATAATTAATAGCTTAAATGTAAATTTCTAAAATAAACCCAAATAACAGACTGGCGTCCTTAGACTGTCCGCTTATCTAGACTTGCCTCTTCAAAGGATAGAATTACTATACATCCATGGGCTTAGCATTCAGTACAGCCCCTCTTTAACATGACTGACTGACTGACTGAGTTTGGTTTTACGCCGCTTTTAGCAATATTCCAGCAACATCACGGCGGGGGACACCAGAAATGGGCTTCACACATTGTACCCATGTGGGGATTCGAATCTTTAACATGAGATAAGCTGTAGCCCAGCATCATGTTTGACGTGTTACAGCTGTGAATAACATCACATAATCAGTATCATTATGAAGTGTCACACACACAAATAAGGGATAAAAGTGATAGAGTGAGTGAGTAGTTTTAGCAATGTTCCAGCAATATCACAGCAGGGGACATCCTAATGGACTTCACACATTGTACCCATGTGGAGAATCGAACCCGGGTCTTTGGCGTGACAAGCGAATGCTTAAACCACTAGGCTACCCCACCGCCCTGGAGGTGATAGAAAATGTTGCACTTTCAACTTCCAAGAGTACAGTTCAGTTATGTCTGGAATGTGTCCATATGATACACACACTGGTTGTTACAGATCATAGATAGCCCATATAGGAGCTAAACCACAGTTTGCGTTCAGGTGTGTATTTTGGGTAGCATGTTCCATCACCTTCTGTCCTACACATTTCGTTGTCCATGCTACCAGTTTCACGAAAGCATCCAGTCAGCGCGACTAAGGCATAAATATATGCCTAATTTGATAATCACGCCATCAACATAAGTATATTGCTGTCTAAGACAAGTTTTTCTACCTATGATTTGACAGGTTAGAAAGGGGGTGGCCTTATGCATGGGGTAAAAGACCTATTTAGAAACTAAAGGAGTTAAACGTACTGTGTTTGAAAATTAGATGAATGTTAGACCAAACTGATAGTTTTTAAATTTCATTTGAAATTGAATGCATAGCACTTTTTATCCAAACTGATAGTGTCTAATTGTAATGACAACAATACGAGTATTTGTATAGCGCTGACTTCCACCACACAAGGGCAATGCTCAAAGCGCTGACAAGTCAGTTCATATGTACAAGAAAATACACGGATTTATGAAACAGAGCACTGAAAGAGGTGTGTTTTGAGTCTGCTTTTGAAGAGTGGCAGAGTTCCAAAGGTTAGCAGCTGCATACTAAAAGGACTTGGCAAATACGAGTATTTCACACACAGTCAAGGTAGAATTTGCTATATAAACTTGTAAACTAATTGCTTGTTCATACTACACATTTTGTGAAAATAAAGTTCAAATGAGCATGCAGTGTTCCATCCTCGATAATCTCCAGGGTATACATTCCGATAAATCTCCACTACACCCTGGATGCATCTACGGCTTGGCCGATGATTTTATTACCTCCCTTTATTGTCTTTTTATCCAATCAGGTGTCTACGCTGGGAAGTTGAACGTACCAATCACAACTCACTTTCACCTTTCAAATTATCTAACCGTTTAAACTTGGCAACACAATAATATATTGGCAGAAGTACTCTGAAAGAGGTAGAAGGAGTTCTTGCATATATATTTTTGAAGGTTTCAGACCTGTCAATTTGTCTGTATGTTTTTCCCCCCAAATCTGAGTCACACTGCAAACAAACTTTTGCGGCTGCGACCGCTATCTTTGTTGACACTGGCAAGCTCGGTTTTAATGGCAGCTTATCTGATTGGCTACTGTGAGAATGTGGAGCCAGCAAAGGGAGATAATATAATTATCGGGCCGAGCCGTAGATGCATACAGGGTATGGTGGAGATTTATCGGAATGTATACCCTAGAGATTATCGAGGATGGCAGTGATCCTAAACTGTTAATCTTATCAACATACTCAGACTGTTTCACACTCATTGGCACACATTCAAGTTTAACAGCCAGCTTACAAAAGTGACCCTTCAATAATGTCGCTGAGTATACATCAATACAACTGCATTCATGTAGAATTTCAGGTACATAACTGTAGATAATACACTCACAGTCTACTACACTCAGACGAACATGTGTCGCCTCATCTGTAGTCAATCCAATCAGTGTCGATGAATCATTTCAACAAGTGTAGATGTACTTGGGACTGGATGTGTCTCACTTAACTTTGGCATCAGTGGGACACACGTTTTACCTTTAGCAATACGCGAAATCAATGACAGTGACAATTTATCTTCCTAGGATTGGTCCGTATTTCAGAGATGTTTGGTTTGTGTTGTTCAATGCTCTTAGCAATATTCCATCAGTCTCTAAATAATCACAAGTTAGACCAACTAGGGTCCATTTCTGATAGGACTAACCATCTTACTGTTAATCTCTATTATCCAGGGTCAGGGCCCTCTTCCATCGACCCGTGAAGATCTAGGTTTTAATTGGTCTTCAGTAACCCATGCTTGTTGTAAGAGGCGACTAACAGGATCGGGTGGTCAGGCTTACTGACTTGGTTGACACGTGTCATTGTAAACCCAAAGTCACTGTGTTCTTTAATCTGATTGGTTGAAAAACGTGATCAAATGGTATTTGATTCCCGGAAATTCTCTGCGTATTAATACATACAAACATCGCTCACACCATTGTATTGTTACGTCGTCAGCTGTGATGACGTCATTAAGATCATATTGTGACGTAAAGTCCGAATGACGTCACAAATGAGCAGTTCCATATGCTACCATGGGAGACAGCCGAAACGGCCGGCTGATGACATTTCACTGCTGTACCCGTACTCGATGTCAATGAGAGCAGGCACAAAAAACGTGTGTGGACCTTTCGGTTTACTTTTGTGTTTACACGCCGTCGGTTTCAAATTAAATATTCCCGTGCTTCCGATAACTCAATAACACCCGGAAATTCGCCAACACATGATGTTTATCTCCTAATTGTATCCCAATTACTTACAGACCCGTGCCACTTGACGTAACTTTCATTGACTTACATGTTAATTTAGTGTAGCATAGATAATTTTCATGAATTCAATTTTCGTATGATCCAAGTCAAATTTTGCACATTTATGAGGAATCATCTTACCTACGATCACATAATTTCTGTTTAATTTTCTGTTGCTTATTTATCGAATGGCAACGATTTAATCAACATATGTACAGTGCCGTGAACTCCTTTAACATGGCGGCCTATGGGATTGTGCATTGTGGAACTATACGTAAGTTGATAAATGTGATGTCATTAGTTAAATAGAGGTCGGAAAATTGATGTGCACAGAGCAGAGATGATTTCAAATTTGCCTGTCAAATTTTACAAAGATCTATCCTAAACTCACCTCATGAAAATTATTCATGCTACACTGAAATAACATGTAAGTCTATGGAAATGACGTCAAGTGTCCGAATATAACTGGCACGGGTCTGTAGATTGATGCTCATGCTGTTGATCCCTGGATTGTCTGGTCCAGACTGGATTATTTACATACCGCCGCAATATAGCTGGAATATTGCTGAGTGCAGCATAAAACTAAACTCAATCAATCAATCACTCTTCCATGAATTGATCCTATTGCCAATGCATCTGTTCAACGCCACTGGTTTCAAGTTGGTTTCTGGACAGAATGCAGTGTGACAACCTGATCCTCAATCCTGTCTCCCCTGTGGGGGGATCTCTGAACCAGGACAGGTTCCCAAAACCTAATGCTTGTCTCCCTATATGGATCCATGGCCACAATAGGTCTAGCAAACCCATGTTCATCTACCTGCATGGATCCTTAGTCAGAATAGATCCGGAGTACCTCTTGCATGTCTTCCCATATGGATCCTGGCCCAACACTTACCTGTGACTTAGCTGACTGTGTCATCGCATGTCGACAGAGTGTGACATGCTCAAGGACAAGCACAGTTTTGTCTGACCCCTGACTCAGTTATCGACACACTGCCATGAATACCTGGAAAAATGCTGACTGAAGCATAAACAACACACACAACAACGAACCTTACTGGCCCTAGCAGGTGACACCTGTTGCAAGAAAACAGACAAGTGTTGTCATCCTGAGTCTGGTTCTTCCTGAGTCTGATTCTTCGTGTGTCAGCAATGAGTGAGTGAGTGAGTATGATTTTACGCCGCTTTTAGCAATATTCCTGCAATATCACGGCAGGGGACACCAGAAATGGGCTTCACACATTGTACCCATGTTGGGAATCGAACCCGGGTCTTCAGTGTGATGAGCAAACGCTTTGACCACTAGGCTACCCCACCGCCTGTGTCAGCAATGAAGACATTATGAGAGAAGGAATCACAAGTGTTTATGGATGATCAACTTCTTTATTGTACAATAGAGAAGTTTCTGTACAGATACTTATATAATATCGTTTTCAAGCATACCAAAACGTTATTGTTCAATAAAGAAGTTGATCATCCATAAACACTTGTCATTCCTATTACTTACAACTCCTAGAAACCCTCAAACTGTTCATTATGAGAGAAGTGTCTTCTTTAACAAACTGCCTACTTCTGTACAACAGAAAGTATACACAAGAAAGCTGTATTTGACAAAAATGACAAACCTTAAAAGCTTAAAGGCAGTCACCATAACACAACTGTTATCCCAATTTTTCTATTATTTCATTTTTAGCCCCTATCACAGTGTCAGGGCTTCACACATTGTACCCATGTGGGAATAGAACCAGGGTCTTCTGCGTGATGAGCGAACGGTTTAACCACTTGGCTATCCTACCGCCCCTGAAGTTCTGACTGAAACTACACAGATGCTGATCCTGACACAATACAGGGTGTATTACATCATCATATTGTTTCCTGGAGTAACGGCATATCATTTTGTTTCAGAATTTCTGCTGGTTAAGATGTTCCAGAGTTAAAAATATATCTGTCATGAAAATAAACAAGTTTGGTTTCATCTTGTTTCTATCTGCGGGTTCCTTGTCACATACATTTTGTTGGTTGTTTAACGCTGCACTCAGCAATATTCCATCTATATGGTTGCGGTCTGTAAATATCGAATCAAGACCAGACAATCCAGTGACCAACATCATGAGCATCGATCTACCCAAATGGGATATGATGACATGTGTCAACCAAGTCAGCAAGCTTGACCACCTGATCCTGTTAGTCGCTTCTTTTGACAAGCATGGGTTACTGAAGACCAATTCTAACCCGGATCTTCACGGGTTATATGAGGAAAGAGAGGGTATATACATAGACTGTTATCAAAAATAAAACAATAACTGCTGACAATTTCATCCATTCATTTTCATACATAATTTAAATACTGTTGAGTGATATTTTTTCTTCATACGCATGTACATTTCATACCGTCATGTAAGTTTCATACGGACTTGTCTGCAATCTATCAGATTTTAGATGTATGACAAGACTTACACAGGTTACCACTCAGTTTAACTCACGTGATATAACCGATTAACCCTTCAACATGTGCAATACAAGGGTATATACAAAAACAACAACACAAAATATGGAATGTGTAGTGGAATCGGGATTCCATTGTTCTTCTTGATCTGCAGAGTGTCTTGGATTTCTTCATAGACTCATAGTTCAAATTTTGAATGTGGAAACACTACCTAAAGTAGACAAAGGAATGTAGGCACATACACATTACCAAGATTAAACACTTTACACTTCCAAGACCTGTTAGAATTAAGACACAATAACATTAAGAATTTCTTTCCGTAGTTGAAGGAATTATCACTCCCAAACTTTAACTTATAGCAGTCATTAATGAACATGATTTCACATCAATACTTAACATTGAATTTGTCTTTATGCTTTAAAATTAAACCTACAAAAGTTGTGCAAAAATCACTTTGTGGTAATAAATCCACAAGAGGGAGCTAGAAGCTGCAGAATTGTTTAATACTGCACACTGAACACACAAGGATAAAACATAAATTTCACTATTCATAAATAATAACAAAGCCAGAACATTAAACACTTTTCGTGCAAAACCATCCATCATAAATCCTGTGTTTGTAATGTTGATAACAGTCCCCTTGATTTCACTCCCTCAACAGAATGTAATAATCACACTGGAATTGGCATGGCTGTGGCCATTAGACAAACACAAGCTGTACATTGTTCATAACTTATTAAACATCGCTTTGACACGACAAGATGTTTCAGTTTGGTGGCACAGGAGTAACCGGGTCAAGCATGGACTTTCTCCGAGCTGTTTCCTTGGAAACACTGTTGTGTAACTTGTTAAGTCGCTCCTGGAAACAGAAAAAAAAAATAATCAGACTGAGCGTGATCTATATGAAATCAGTCAGTGGTTAGAGTTATCTGCCCCTAAAAGCGACTCTGCAATACAAGGACAGCAACGTCCTGGAAAAGGCCCAGGTATTTAAAACAAAAATGACCAGAAATAATTAAAACAATATCTCAGTGATGAGATAAATATATATCCAGTGAAACTTTTTGTTCCTGTGAAGACAAAAGACATTACGTGTCATTTCATATCTAAAAAGAGTTATGCAAGCCTCAAATCCCACACCTAATTTACATGGCCTATTCTTAAGATCTTTGTTGAATGGCGGCAATCGTGTGAAACTTTGTACCTTAAAATGTATGTTAATGTTGCACAAGAACAAACATGTTCCGCACCATTAACTACAGTTCACAAAACCCATATGACATGGATGCCTGTAATGTCAATAGTGCTTGCACATTCGGACATGAGTATGTAGCGGCCATAAAATCTCCGAGTACTGTGCAGGGATGTGAACAACGGATATTCTGATCTGAAGCTGGACACCTTGTCCACATGACCAAAGAGGTTAAACCCTTTCAGCAAGCTGACTGGGTAAGGGTGACATCTGTGTGTCGCCCTGCTGCATCTAGTAAAATGTCAACAGTCCTAACACAATTTGGACAGGACCGTCTGCAATGTCCAATACTGCACACGCAATCTGACATGACTGTCTCTAATGTTAATACTGGTAAAAACATTGCAAATGACAGTCTGACTGAGTCTGTTATATGAATACTTTTGTGTGTTGTTTCATGACACACTCCGAAATATTCCAGCTATATGACGGCAATCTGAGATGAGATCCATCAATGAAGTCAACGAGTCTGACCATCCAGTCCAGTTAGTTGCCTCTTAAGTGAGTGAGTGAGTTTAGTTTATGCTGCACTCTCAGCAATATTCTAGCTTATGGTGGCAGTGTGTAAATAATTGAGTTTGGATCAGACAATCCAGTGGTCAACAGCATGAGCATCGATCTAAGCAATTGGGATACGATGACATGTGTCAACCAAGTCAGTGAGCCGCAGGATCCCATTAGTTGCCTCTTACGAATAGCATGGGTTACATTCGTGACCAACCCGTGTTATTCCGGGACAAGCCGAATAGCGACTCGTGCCCCTCTGGAAGGATTTCATATTGGCGCATGAACGTCAGCACTACTTTAAACAAGAACGATAACTCTATCCCTGTTTGATTCCAATGTTTCTTAATTATCACCGAAGCACATGTACATTGTTTTGCTAGGTTGTTGTTTTGGGGGTTTGTTTACTTATTTATTTTAAAGAATTAACCTCTTTGATACAACTAAAAGAAGGAACAAAACATATTTGTTAAAGACATATTCAAATGTAATTATTACCAGCTGTTAACCTTATAATTCCAATTAGGGTTTACTAATCACAAATGGGAATTTTTTTATTGAATATGCCAATAACAGTTTAAAAATTTCAGCTACATTAAATCCAAAGCACATACTCAAGAATGACTTTAAAATATTTCTCAAACTGAACATTCGTGTAATCTTGCTGTCATACCCCTGGTGGAATTTTAAATGAATTCGCTGAAAAAAATATATATGACCAAAAAATAGTCAGACTAAAATATCCCCAGAGATGTGAAATATAAGCCAAATGTTTGAGACTAAAGTTGATTAGTTACAATTTACATACAAATATAATATTATTGTTTTGAAACTCGTAGCGATTTATAATTACATTTCCTAAAATTGTTGGAAGCGCACGTACAATCTTCATAACAAGCCCGCAAGATCATCAGAAATACACTCAGTTGGACCCATGAGAGCCGTTATGTCAACAAACGCACGTGCGTGTATTTGAATCTCTCACCGTCAATCGCATGATTCTTATTAAAACAGGGGTGGAAATAAGCCATTGCCCGACGTCCGAGTCCAGTGTTTTATTCTGTCGGGCAAGGAAATTTGTATATCACACTGTACCGGTGTCCAGTTGACTTTCCAATGTTAATTATGTTGTTTATTTAAAAAATCAAGAAGAAAACGGTTGGTATAGTGGAAAAATTATCAGGGCAAGTGACTTTACATGTGCCACTGTACCGGAGTACACTATCAATTTTAAAGTTATTTCCACCACTGTTAAAACTTCAAAATAGGCAGCAAAATCCTGTTAGCTACGTTCTTTGTACTTTCAATATGGTGATATATATTTTTCATTTAAACAATGACATAATGCCATAAACGATTTAAGTACTCGGGATTATTTTTATCAAAGCACCACGGTCATTTACGCATCGTTTTGGATTGGTTTGTCGTATTTTCGCTTGTCGTATTTTAAGCACATAACAAGCATCGAGAGGCGGACGAGTCTTCTTGGAGTTTACGGAAAGGGGCGAGTGGTGACGAATGCATGGGATAATGAAGACCAATTCTAACCCGGATCTTCACGGGTCTGACCTTCTGTAATGTGAATACCGATCACAAAACCATCTGAAACATCGAAACTGAACACACAATCATCGATGGTTTGTACCTGGACATTTTGCAGGATGTTGTTGACGAGTGTCACTCTGCGCCGAGAGGTGTTCAGTTTCTTCACATAGGGTTCAAGGTCAACTGGATTCTGCTCACATTCTGTTATCTTCCTCAATTCTTTAAAACACAAACATTACAAGGATAAACTGTCTGTGATAAGATACACTCAAATATGTACAAAACATGCATGAAGGGTCTCATATTAACATCCGAAATGCACTGAATCGGTAGGCTCTTACCACGGCACAAGACCTTCGGTTTGGTCTGTTTCGGTTTGGTATTTGCGATATGATCATAATACAGGAAAGAAAAGAAACACATAGATTTTGACAAAATGATTCAATCTCTAGACATTTTGGAAAAGGTTTAAAAAGGTTAAAATGATGGTACGAAAAACGAAAATACAGATTTTTTGGATTGCATTATGGTCTACCGTTTCACCCCTACTGAATGGAATGCATCCGTATCACCAGCCTAATAAGCAATATATAAACAGAATCATATGACTAATAAGCTATGCAATACATACACAACACGAATTTGAAACAGTCACGGATATTCAAAGATGAGGCCTCTATAATTTTATGATAAACTTCCAGGGTATCATATTTGTTTGCTTGTTTGTTATTAAACACATCACTTAGCAATGTTTCAGTTATACGATGGCCGTCTGTAAATAATCAAGTCTGGACCAGACAAACCAGTGATTGATATCACAAGCATCGATCTACGCAATTGGGACACGATGACATGGGTCAACCAAGTCAGTGACCACTTAGCAATGTTTCAGTTATACGATGGCCGTCTGTAAATAATCAAGTCTGGACCAGACAAACCAGTGATTGATATCACAAGCATCGATCTACGCAATTGGGACACGATGACATGGGTCAACCAAGTCAGTGAGCCTGACCACTCGATCCCGTTAGTTGCCTTTTACAACAAACATGGGTTACTGAAGACCAATTCTAACCTGGATCTTCAGGAGATACTGTGTACCATCATCGGCCTCTTCAGTGTTTTGGGATAAGGTGATAGCTGGTTACCCCAGCTAAGCATAGCTCTTAGACCCCTTTCCAATATTGCCCATCAAGCTGCCTTTTAACAATCCTGAAGGTTATGTCCTCTTTTACAATCCACGGGCTTAGTTGTGAGTTATGGTTAACCAGCTCAACTCTTTTAGTTTTTAATAAAATAGTCCAGTGTAATCTGACATAAATCTGTACAACTTATGTTAATAAAGTTTAATGCAACAAAATGGATACCCAAGATTCACAGCATGGTAAACAATCATGGTCCTGTGGTAGAGAGCTGGCTAATTAGATCATCATGTTAGCCTACAAGATCGCCGGCAACATGAGTTCGATCCCATGTTTGGTGCTAACTGGAGTCCAAAGGAAAGATCAGTAGTCCAAAATTGGAGCGGTCATCTAGTACTGGTACTCACCTTCTGCAAGACAGTCTATCTGTTGCCTTAGTTCCACTTGACCATCTCTGCAACACGCATATACTGGTTAGTTCCCCACCACATACCAGACACATCACTGTATGTGTAGTATAGCAGCAATGGCTATCAACTGAGTACATTGCTTAGCAAAATCAACATCATACACTAGTGGTGATCCGATTAATTGAAATAATCGAAGATTGGTCACAGTGACTAAACGACCAAGCAATCGATCACGTTTTCTTATAATCGAACACAAACAATTCTGGAACACTTGTTTTCATAAACAATATTTTTCACAAGGTTGGTTTTGTCTGTTACCTTTCATAATCATTATAAGCTCGTTCCAAGTCATGATTGAATTTATCTTAAAGACTCCAAGAAATTTATGTTCCTAACATACTAGTCATCCTTTAAAGATGTGAAATTTTGCCCAAACCCTACAAAATAACTACATGGTTTTTTTCCTTATTTTTTTGTGCATTAACAAATTTCATAAATGACGCTAACCAATTATTTTCGATGATTGATCAGTGGTAATGAACCAATCATCAATTATGAGATTTTAACCAATTCCCAACACTATCATACACCTCTGTGATCTGTCTCATGTTGGACAAATATCCTTCCAAAACAGAAATGTCATCTATATTTAACATGTACGATACAACTGAATATCTTACAGTAGTTCCAACAACTACCCCTGTTTTCAAACCTGTTACTTATTAGTGTTATTTGTGAAATAGTCAGCATTTCAACTTTACCATATCACTTCATTCACCTTTGTGAAACTATGAACATATATTTTTTGTCTGCTGAAAAAGTGTAAGATTATTTCTGTGTCCAGACATGAGTGTCAATCAAAACAGTGGAAATAGAACTTTTTCTTCAACATACTGCACCAAACATTTCAACTGTCAAACAGCATCTCTTCAGCAAAACTACATTTAATGTCATCTCTGACATTACATATATACCCTCGCGTCATGGGTTTCCGTGGTATTAAGAAATTTACAACTATGAATACGATCGCTGATATTGTCAAGTCATATAAACATAACCTAGAGTTAGACGACATACCTTTGTATAATTTAATGTCAATAAAACACTTTTGTCATTCTGAAGTTCATCGTTGTCCGTATCGGACGACAGGCAGCCATTGTGCACAAACTCTGGTGACGTCATATGTTTCCGTGGTATTTCCTACAGATCAACTTACGGGCGCACAGCACATGTCACAACCTCGCACGTTGTCAACAGCCAATCCGGAAGTGTCAATGTAGGTTTACAGTAATAACAAAGTTGATAAGCTGTAATACAGTCAATGGTTTTATAGAATTAACAGAATAGTCACATTTCTTCAGCCTAAAATTCCAGTTCACAAAATATGTAGTTGATCAACGGAATACTATCGAAATGAAAAGTGAAAAACGACTTAAGAGATGACCCTATCGGGCTTCCAAGTTTAAAAATAGAGCAGGGATTCCCTCCTTAGGTCATGTGATTATTTTCATTGATTACATCAGCTAGCAGACGAAATGCCATGTTTGGAAAACTTTGAAGCTGAATAAGTTTATAGAAAATGTTTGTAAAGATCACACCAAAAGTGCATTACGTACAGACATAATGTTGCATTAGTTTTTAATAGCTCGATGACTGCACGCACGCGAAATTGATGAAAGTTGGAACATTTTTGCTCTCAGCCGTGATGATCGACTGATGAACGAAAACAATCGATAGGTGGCGGCATTTGGTGAGTGGCTTCGCGTGAGAAATTTTGTCATTAGCAAATACCACGGAAACGTAAGTACCACGGAATCATATGACGGCATGGTACCCCTATTATATTTATCATAATGAATAAGAAATGCAATTATCAATGTGTCATCTGGCAATAGACATAAACCAGATTTTCCCAGATTTGTTTATCATATACAATGAATGGTGCAGAAAGGTAAACAAACAGGTGTTGATGACTTGGTAAATGAGCACTAATTATGTATGACAGCACCAATGATCCGGTGATGGAGTGTTGGCTAAAAAAACAAGGTGACGAACTAGTGTGTGTGATCCTCCATGTGGCATTAATTGAATTCGAAAAATGTGTGCAGAGTAAATTTGCATTAATCCCACAATATGATTAAGTAAGTCCCTTTGTCATGTTTTGTAGTACACCATGTATAATTCAAAATGGAGATTCCTACTGTCTTCACATGACCATCCCTCTTGCCAGACACTGACGGTGTGTCAGGCGACCAGCCATTATCACAATATGCCGATTTGAAGATATTCTTTCTATTCTTTTCAAAGACTGACCATATACTAGTAGTTAATGGACAGCATTTACTTTATTGTTAATTTTATACAGTTAACGACAGCTCTTTCTTTAGCCATCTCGTCCACTCGTTTCTTCAGTGACGAGAGTGGGAGGGGCAAATGTCACTCACTATTACGCCGTGTACATTTCAGTGTCAGCACTTACCTGACGCACGACACCCTCTCGTCAATCTCCTCAACTGCAGGTTTCAGAAGATCAACCAGTCCGTTTGCGATTGCGTCCCGCGTTCGTGTATCTAATGGTTTGTCACTCGATGGTGAAGTAATTGGAGACTGAACTTCCGCCATTGTGATGTTTTGTAAGGGGAAGTAACTCTAATTTACTACTTTGTCTTCATCATGATTTTCCACGTTCAAATCAGCAAACTGGCTATCGTTTTGGATTCTGTTGGTGTTTTGGCAGATTTGGTTCAAACTGCTGGGGCACCTATGTGCAACTAAGAAATAAACCCAAGATTTATATGTAAGTGCGTCTAAAAAGAAATGACAAAACAACTATTGTGACATATGAATCTTGAGACTAAAATTCGAGTGAGTGAGTTGGGTTTACGCCGCTTTTAGCAATATTCAAGCAATATCACAGTGTGGGACACCAGAAATGGGCTTCACATACTAGTATTGTATCCATGTGGGGAATCAAAACCTGAGTCTTTGGCGTGCGAGTGAACGCTTTTAACCATTAGGATACCCCACCGTCCCTATTAACCTTGAGAAATGTATATGGCATATTAGGATTGTGTGTTTGTTGCTTAACACTCATTTTAACAATACCCCAACTATATGAGGGAGTCCTGTTCATAACTGAGGGTAGAGGTGAGGTGAGGGTGAAATGGGTTTAACGTTGTGCTTGATAATATTTCGCTCATTCATGACGTGCATGCATGCGTGTGTATGTGCATAGGTGTGGCTGCTTGTACTAGTCCAGACTGAAGCTGGTTTTATAGTGCTAGCCCACTGAGATACCATGCCGCAGTGAAGCATGAATACCCCACTCAGACATACTGACTCCGAGTCCGACCAGTCCTTTGTTGTACCCATTAATGCTGAGCTAGGCAGGACCAACAAGTACCATATTTTAGCATCTGAGGGTAGACTTCACAATCCAGTGGTTGCTATTATGAGCACCAATCCACGCCACTGGGGCAGACTGACATGCAACAAACCACCCAAAGAATAAAGTGGCATCCATATTCAAGGTTCTCTTAGTGATGCTTAAACTCTGCTGCCCACCGGTGGCATAGCAACGGTCATCATTCTGTAGTTTTAATCACATCCACATGTGTGGCTCCTAGTGTTCAGCCCTTTTCTGCAATAACTTGAAGTGCACGTTCCCCATGTTTGACCACTTTCCAAACATCACTTACCCCTGCTCATTTACGGGACTTGTTGCAGCAAAGAGATTTTTTCAGCTCAAATTAAAGTGGCTAAACCTCAATGATGTCATTCAGTAATTATAACAGAAGATTTAACTGTTACACAATTCCTTGAGGCTTAGAACTTGTCAATCACATGCTGGTATTTGTACCCACATGCTGATATTTTTATGTACCTGTTGACACTTTCAGCTTACTCAGTTTTCACTTGATGGATGCAGCAGTAGCTCTGAAATGTTGTAGGAACAATAAAGGAAATGAGTGAGTTTAGTTTTATATTCCAACAATATCATGACACCAGAAATGGGCTGCACACATTGGACCCAAAAATAAAAGTAGGTTGGTTTGTTGTATAATGCTGCACTCAGCAATATCCTATCTATATGGCATCAGTCTGTAAATATTCGAGTCTGAACCAGACAATCCAGTGATCCACTTCATGAGCATCGATCTATGCAATTGGGATACAATGATATGTGTCAACCAACTCAGTGACCCTGACCGCCTCTTATGACAATGCATCATGTAGCCTATAAAATCGCATTGTATTATTGAGGATGAACTATTCCAAGGTTGTACAATCCAGTACTCAGTCATTGTGTCCATGCAATCCACATCCGGAGGCAAAATGAGACAACAGGAACTACATGTGTCACATATTTACAAGAAATTTATTCCTTTTTTTGTTTCAATTTAAACACAGACATACATAGCACTATACTCACAAGACAGCTTCTTTATTATATACAAACCTATCTGCTATTGCTGGTGAATAATAGTCATCATCATAATAATAATTAGTAAAGAAAATGTGCAGGATTTACAGCACAGACACCAAACAACCATGCATTCAAATAACCGTAGATTTGTTGGGTTGTCTCCCCTTGCCATCAAAACAACTTTCATCAATCAGTTAAGATTTATAAATAGTAGTCTCCTGGATACTAACGACTCAACTGCATTTAACCTCTTAAACTAAATAATAAAATTAAAAAATGTACATTAATGTAGATACTATTAATGAATATCATGTGTCCTATCAATCTTTAGTTGGGACTGAGTAGGTTATAGGGTTTGGCTTAGATGCTTTTCTCTTAGCGCTAAGATAGTCGTAAGTGCTATACATTAACATTAACTTACTTACTTATCTTAGCTTAAGAGAGCTTCGAAAATCTAGGCCCTTTAGTATACCACTGAAAACAAATAATTAGGAATACCCAGATTCATTCTTTTTTCTGTGACTAGGGCTAATCTGATGTCATGATGAATTAACTACAGTCACAAGAAAAAAAAAATCTTGTTCTTTAGTTTTACTTTTTGAGTATAATATCAGATTTAAAGAAGTTAAATGCAATTATCACCCTGAAAAAGAACAATGCAGACATCACTGCAGACCCTTTCTGTTACTGTAGACACTTCCAAAGCACGAGTCCACTGCAATACTGAATGTAGGCATCAAGACATTCCTCAGGTATATAATAAGAACACAAACATTCAATTTCGACTGTATTTGCTTGAATAAATTGAAGAAATTCCAAGTATATACTAGCAAAAGGTACCTGAAACACCAATTTGTTCATCTTTATATAAAAACAGCAATTCCTATCAACATGTGTCTGTGAATCTCCATCGCAGCTAACAGTGATTGAGTGAATTTAGTTTTACACCACTTTTAGCAATATTCCAGCAATATTACGCAGGGGGACACCAGAAATTGGCTTCACACATTGTGCCCCATGTTGGGAATCAAACCTGTGTTTTCGGTGAGATGAGTCAATGCTTTAACCACAAGTCTACTCAACACCCCTAACTTTAACAGTATTTCAGTTCGATCATGTCATATTTTCTACTTTGTTGTGGTCGGAGCATGTGTATTCTGCTGACACACCAAGGATCATGATCTGGGTGATTTGAGGATTTGAACCCTTGACCAGCGGATCCACACAACTAAGGGACATAACTCTACACAGCCAAATGCAACTCATCAAAACAGTGGCCTACTTGAAAATCTCCTGTCTGCTGTGTTTCTTCCTGCAATGAAGGAGCCTTTTAATTCGTTAAATACTGTACATGAATACACCACATGGCGTCACTTCGAATGAGCTACCAGAAAAAGCATTCCTATGAGATGACATACATGAGCGAGCGATTTCCTTTGTCAAGTTAGTGAGATATTAAGATCACTTCTAAACCATAGCTTTGTTGGTGAATGATCTAGAGTTGTTGTCCCAACAATATGAAGACGATCCATCAAGACTCAGGGTGGCAGATTATCAAGATTACATCATCGTTCCTTCGTTTTCACAAATAGCAATTGCAATCAGCGTTTGAAGTACATATGAATTTCAATGAAGTATATGATACCACAAAAAACAAGACGCAAAAAAGACGAACCTCACATACAACAATGTTTATTTCTCAAGCTAAGGACGTTTGAATGAATATCTGCTCCACTCACACATGCAGAGAAATCATGGTCAAATCACACTGGATTGGATTATCTCCCTTTGTACAGTTGTAGTCTATGTGTCATTTTGTGTTTGTTTCCCAGCTGAACTTTCAACGGACATCTCATATTTTGACAGCAATACTGCCATGTGAACCTGGAATTACTGCTAGGCCGGTCAAACCAAACTAGTGGTCGATAGTATGATCAATGCTGAGACACAATGTAAGACCATCAGACAGGTCACGTATTGCACCTGGCTGACTACCGGAGTAGGACAAGCCCTACCCCTGGAAATATTGATACAATCATATGCTAACATGAACAGATGCAAATAAATTATTTGGATTGATAATCAAATTTTGTTAATTTTCTCATTTCTGGGAGTGCAACTGTACTCAGGCAAAAAAACGAAACATGCACGGTCATGACTTCAGCTTCCAAGGGCTGACCCAACTACAGACATAGGGGTTGAGTCATGAAGACCACAGTGTACTACGCAAGCCTCAATAACGTCAATAAATTAAAATAAATTCTGTGAGGTACCTCTTGATATCACAACGATGTATCCGTTACAGAGGAGGAAGACTAGTACAGTCATTTCCCAGGTTACTGTACCTCAGCAAAGCATCAACATTTAGTTAAGACAGGGGTATTTATCTCCATATAATTGATCATATTAAGATATTCAAAAAGATCAAATGACAATATGTTTCTGCTAAATGTCAGAGACATTAGTTGAGTACATTGGACAAAGGTGCACAGATGTAATGATTTATTATTACATGCTGATATAAGTTAATACATGTCTAGTGGATATATAGCAGTAGATGTCGATATGCCCTGTGGTCATACAGGAAACAGATATGCCCTGTGGCAATGTAACATATATCCATATGCCCATGGTCATACATATCCATATGCCAATGGTCATACATATCCATATGCCAATGGTCATACATATCCATATGCCAATGGTCATACATATCCATATGCTCATGGTCATACATATCTGTATGCCCATGGTCATACATATTTGTATGCTCACACACATCCATCTGCCCATGGTCATACACATCCATATGCCAATGGTCATACATATCCATATACCAATGGTCATACATATCCATATGCCAATGGTCATACATATCCATATGCCAATGGTCATACATATCCATATGCTCATGGTCATACATATCTGTATGCCCATGGTCATACATATTTGTATGCTCACACACATCCATCTGCCCATGGTCATACACATCCATATGCCAATGGTCATACATATCCATATGCCAATGGTCATACATATCCATATGCCAATGGTCATACATATCCATATGATCATGGTCATACACATCCATATGCCCTGTGTTTATATAGCACATGAAGTACCTTGTGATCATGTAGCATAAAGCTATGCCCTGAAACCATACAACATATCGATACGCCCTGTAGTCATACTGCAGACCAGTGTATGTCCACAGTTGACGGAGATCAGACACACGATACAAACACAGTTTAGTGATCAGACACTTTCATCACTCACACACTTATCAGACACAGATCACGTGGCACATTAAACCAGATAATTAGGTCACTACTATAATACTCCGATAACTGACATCCATTTATCTGTCTCTGTTATAAGTAGAGAGAGTTATGTCCCACGGGATCTGCCAGTGTCAATAGTCATTTCAACATTTCCAACAGAAACTACCTTAGCTATTTTTGAAATTGCTTGTTTTAAAGTACCATTTCTAAGGATCAGACTTGTTGAAACTATGCATACTTTTCGCTGATTAAACTGCCAAAATTAATAAGACATAACCTATATCCAGTGCAGACCATTCAGGAACCCAGGGTTAAAACTTTATTGTTGTTGTGAAAACAGCATCTGAGAAGTAAAATTAAATAAATATAATTGTCTTGAATAATTCTTTTCCAAAATGTGAACTACCATGTTATTCTGACTGCAAGCATAATTAACCCTTTAAGTACTGTCTACCCAAACTATGAAGGCAAGTCTGACAGTAACACCTGAAAACCATTTCCTTGTTCCACCACAAGTCTCTTCCCTCCAAGAGAGGTTGTAGTATCGAAGACCATGTTCTAGCAATGGCAACCACTTTCCATCTTTCTCAACATGATAAAATAATGAAATAAAAAAGAATATTGTCCCTTTGGAAACTGAGTAAAACTGGGAGCATATGTGTTTTGAATAAAACACCGCTTTAAAAGCTGAAGATACGGGTATGTACGATGTACAACACACAGTGTGCTTAAAACAGCACATCCACATACACATACAGCCTAGCTTCACGATCAGCCGTTCTTAAAGAACTCCTTCTTGAACTGGGAAACTTATCCGAGTTGTAATCGGTCTCGCTTTTGAAGTCTTTGTGTCAAAACTCTTTGACTTCTTCTTCCAACGCGTACGCTGCAGCTCACTCTCTTCTGATGCTTCATTGGATAGGTTTTCCCTGGCTGCTGATTGGCTGGACACCGCTGCAGCTGCTGCCTCAGATCGATGGAGTCGGGGATGTATTCAGCCATGTTTGTTCCAGTTGCAGCCTCTCTCCAGAGCCATCATCTGGTGGAGAAATGTGAACCAGTTTGGTATTTAGCTTGTTTAAAAAAATATTTCATTTAATGGCAAGTCAGCTTAAAGTGGGAAGCAACTCTGTGCATAAATTAAGCCCTCACCAATAATCTGAGTCTGGTGATAGCAAGCATCTATGGTATCGGGTTAAACTGGACACAATCGTCAAATTGAACATTGCGTGTCAGTGTGAGAGTGAGAGGGTGAGTGAGTGTGAGAGGGTGAGTGAGTTGGGTTTTATGTCACTGTTAGCAATATTCGAGCAATATCACGGCGGGGGACACCAGAAATGGGTTTTACACATTGTAGTCATGTGGGGAATTGAACCCAGGCCTTCGGCGTGACGAGCGAATGCTTTAACCACTAGGCTACCCTACCGCCCCAGTGAGAGTGAGTTTATGAGTGTGTAATGTGTGAGTGGGTTCTTGTGACAGCTTGTACTCATCCAGATTAACTAGCCTACCTAGATACCATACTGTAGTATTTATATGAATACCCCTCTCAGAAACACTGGACTGACTGAGCACCCAGTCCCTGTTCAATCCCCTTAATGCTGAGCACCAGGCAGAGTAACAGCAGGAAGTACCATTTTTAACATCATTTGGATGCCTGATCGAACCACTGACCATCTGCTGTCCTTGCAGATGCTCCTATCCACTTGCCCACCAGGGCATCCTATCTTTTAAGACAAGGGTCAGTGAGTGAGTTTAGTTCTATGTCAAGACTCTCAGCAATATTCCAGCTACATGGCGGCGCATCTGTAAATAATCGAGTCTGGACCAGACGATCTAGTGATCAATAGCATGAGCATCGATCTATGCAACTGGGATACAATAACATGTGTCAACCAAGTCAGCGAGCCTGACCACCCGATCCCATTTGTCGCCTCTTACGACAAGCATGGGTTACTGAAGATCAATTCTGCACAATCGCTGCAGGTGGTCACCAACAAACTTACCCTTCTGCGCTTTGCAGGTAATCCTTGCATATAGATATCACTGAGAGGGCGTGGTGCTCCATTCTCCCGTTGTCGGTTAATATCACGGTTGATGATTGGGACCCAATCCTGGAAGGGACATAATTCAAGCAGTGAAATTATCTTAAATGTGACGGAAAATGCTTGGTAGAGAATTGTAAGAGAATGGTTGCCAGGCAAACAAGGGGGATAACCATGGAGCATGTAAAGGTTTCAACAAATCATAAGTGAAGGTTACACAATCACATTTTAGGACAGAGCAATTCAATAATAATTTACTGATTTTCTTTGTCAGTATGTACAGGTATGTAAGGGGGACAATCTCCCAATGCAGGCCTTATGCTGTTTACAACGAGCACAAACGATGTTGCTAATAAATGAGCTTAGGTTTCTGGCACTCAAGGGAAGCAACTCTGTATAGCAAATTGTGTAATCCCTGTCCCCTAACATGCTAAATTATATCATGGAATATAAACATGTTATTATCTCTAAATTGTGCCTTCTTTTCAACTTCAAAGAAAAATACACATTGAACAATTCAAAATTACTTTTAACAATAAAACGTAATGGTTCCTAATAACCCAAAGATCATTGTCACACTTGTGCTTTTAACCACGAAACCATACAAAAGATATCATTGTGTATGATTTAAACACAGACACTTACAGCTGGCAAGACAGCCTGCCATGAATCATCCTCGTCTGTGGGTGGAGATGAGGGGGATGCGCTGTGTGACGGCGACGCCCCATCCGACCCAGCTCCGTTTATGAATGGCCGCTTGCCTCGGCTCTAACGTGAGCTGACACCGGGGGTGCGGAGGCAGGGCGGGCTTCCTGTTTCCTGTTGGCTTGGGGGGTATTGCTGGCTTCTGGAACAGCAACAACATACAGCTGTTGACTAGCTCCAGTGGAAAGTTTTGGCTTGGGCTGTTGTTGCTTCACCGAACAATATTCCAGCATCATTATCAAAGCAATTGAATTTTTGGCCCATACTAGTGATTGATATTGCGAGCACCATGCTGTTGAGGTACAAATACAGCGGACCAAGTCACCGCCTTTAACCACCAGATACATTACACGTTGTCTCTTGCCAAACATCAAAGGTTACTGGCTAATAATTGAAAATATAAACCAAGGAAATTTTCAAGTAGAGGGTCATCAATAGCCCCAAGTTAGGGAGGGAGAAGGCGATCAGGCCTCCTTCCACAATATTCCAGGTAAATCATACTTACATGCCAAATAAGTGGTAGATATGGTGAATAAAAGGCTTAAAATATGATTCAAGCGAAAAAAGGGTAAATATACTTTATAATTTTGATAGGATGGCTTGGATTACAACTATTGTGTTCGGCAAAAAAGGAGAGAGGGATAAGTCACTGGATTGGTCTTGGGCCAGTGTACATGCATACTGGAGTGGTGGGAGAGAGTAGCAATAATAAATAGTCAGGATAAGGAAATATATTGAATTTTACACTGCCAACCCAAAATGATGTAGTCTTGTTTAGCACCTTGTTTAGGAAATATATTGAATTTTACACTGCCAACCTAAAATGATGTAGTCTAGTTTAGCACCTTGATGAAAACAATGCAGACATACCTGGGCTTGGATTTAGAGGTAATTAAGTGGGATTTGAGACAATGAGATTAAACTGAGTAAGACATAAACACTAGACTTATTTATTATTATAGGATATTTATATAGCGCACATATCCATGTATCTAATACATGCTCAAGGCGCTGACATTTTTTCCCCTCGATCACTGGATGTCAAACTCAATGGCACATCGTATTATCAATCTCAACTCCCCGGGGAGCATACAACTCTTGCAGCCACTAGGTGCACCGAGTTATTGCGGTTTTCTCATCCTTACGAGGCACCCATTCACAGCTGGGTGGACTGGGACACATAGTCACAGTACTTTGTCCATATTCACCGCACGTTGCTGTACCCGCAACTAGGCGTTTGCACGTATTCATGTGGCCACCATCTAGTCATATAACAACGGATTCGTGGGTTCTTTTAAGTGCACAGGGTTGTGTTCTGTACACTAGGGGTTGTGACAACACTGAAAGAGTCTTCACACAAAGTTGACTCCAAGGTTTTTACACCCGGTCACAGGTAGGCTCGATCCCGTCACCTCAACCTCGCTGGATCACTGGCCTGGCGCTTTAGCCAGCTCGCCCACCACCTCAGGTACACTTACGCAATAGGCAAGACATAGTTAAGTAGGTTTTTTCACCCAGCAGAAAATGGGTACCCAGTGGGACAAGTCATATGACTATTAACATTCTGCCCTCACAGCTCCAGTAATAATGTCCATTATGATGCATGTGCTTAGAGCATGCCTGTGTGGTGTGGACTTCAGTGCTATACAAGTGGCCTTTTTATAAACATTGTTCCAAATATGTTCTCCTTTCACTCATCAGTGAATGGGTACCCAGTAGGAGGTGATGGTAAAGTAACTGTAAACCTGGCTGCTTGAGAATAAAAATTGTCGGCATTGATCCATATGGTATCTATGTAAAGGCAGATTTGTCACGGTAAACACCCATTTGAGGCAGAGATAAATTAGTATACTACTTACTATACTACTATAATTTGATTGAATAAACTTCACATACTTTTCTTCGTACTACCTGTGATGGAGCAGCACTTGCCCCCTCGGCTACTGTTTCCGTATCCATTGGAGACTCACTACGCTCTTTGGTTGAAGGTTTGGCTGCGGCTGCAGTCCGCCGGACGAGGTACCGCTGAACATCAGATCGCGACACACTGATGTCTTCACTGAAGTTGTGGAGCTGTTGTGACGTCATGGTAACCATCCATTGCTGGATCAGGGGATTCATACCAGCTGTCAAGTTTCGCTGAAAAAAATCCCATCACGACAGAGTGAGGTTTTAGGTAACTTCTTTCCCAGAATTCCTGGGTCCCGTTTCTTGAAGCAATTCTAGAGCTAAGGTGATCACAACTCCCATTCTAACACATAGACTTACGATCAATGTAGCACTAAAGCGGCCTTCACATGGCAAACAACAGAAACAACCAATCGCAGTCAATGAAAATGTCACGCGACCGCACCGATAGAGACATGGCGCTCAACATGACACAAAAGTTTGACAATATGTGTTTGACATGTGAAAGCGTGAGTTTGACAACTTTTAAAATTTCAACAAAATGTGTTGTCAAACTTAAGTTTGCCATGTGAAGGCCGCTTAAGATGATTTTCTAGAACAGAGCCCAGGAAGCCAACCTATACCCCTGCCATTTGCAGCAGTATGTGATGATTTTGTGCATCTTATACAGTTCATTCGAAATATTGCTTACATTTATTGCCTGCTGAGGTACAAGCTTCTTCCATTTGTAAAACTCTACAAATAATAGCTGATTTTTTAATATCCTACCAGAGCCCCAGATAAGCTGCGTATCCAGGTAAAATACGCATAGAAAATTTCCAAGCACGCATTGATAAATAATTGTTGCGTACCAATTACGCATTTAAAATGTTAGATACCCAAAAGGTTTAAAGCAAATGCGTACGGAATATATTTATAAAAATCGCTTGCGTAATGAAAATGACATCGATTGCTATCAAGTTGTACTGTTGTACTGTCAGTACAGGATGAGTGATTTTTTATGAAATCATTTCCATTATATTTAAGTTGGTTTTGATTAGGTATGACATAAGGCAGAACATACCTGCTTAGTAAACTTACTCAATGACATAATACTTAGGTGAGTAAAATGACTGAAATACGCACATATTTGAAAGCAGTGGGTAACGGAAAATGAAATACCCACTCAACATTCATAATACCCACTCCAAAAAAATACAGTGGGTACAGTACCCACATGAGCTAAATCTTATCTGGAGCTCTGTCCTACTGAAAGACAAACTTTGGCTTCTTGACACAAAACCCAACAGTACTATCTTGGTAATACAAATTCATATAAGAAAACACAAATTGTAAAATCTTTGTATGTTTTAACATCCATGCCAACAATAGTCCAGCAAGCCTGACGCCATGAATCCTCGTTAGGACATAGATCCCAGATGTTCAACTTGTCTCCAGCTTTAACCACTGGGCCACCCTGGCAATCTGTAGTTGATGACAGTTTTATGAAAGTCCATATTTAGATGAAGTGATTACCAATCTCGAGTGCAGCATCCTCTCCAAGCCAGGAGCGCCATCTACCAGAGAGTCGGAGGTCAGGACCACAAACTCCTCCAGCATCCTCCGCACACGGGCGTGCAGATTGGGTCCGAAGTCGGCATCATTCACTAAAAGTACCACAAAGTGGTGAGTGAGTGAGTGAGTGAGTGAGGTGAGTGAAATTGAGTGAGTGGCTTGAAAATATTTCGCCATATGAGACGCGTGCAGTGTAGTGTATTGAAGCGTGCTTGTGAGCCCAGACTTAAGTGAGTGGTTTTACTCAACAGTATTGCACTTTGTTATGTCATATCACTGACTGACTGAGTTTGGTTTTACGCCGCTTTTAGCAATATTCCAGCAACATCACGGCGGGGGACACCAGAAATGGGCTTCACACATTGTACCCATGTGGGGATTCGAACCGGGTCTTCCGGGCTTCCTCCGGACGCTGTGGCGAAAATAGCGCTTTAACCACTAGGCTACCCCAACAGTATTGCCTTTGTTATGTCATATCAGACACAGGTGGTTAATGGAATGATGATGGAATCATGATGTGCATGATGTATGTGTATGTTTATGATAATGACACCTGTATGTGTATATATATACTATCATGATGCCCATGTATCCATATTTATGATGGTGACACCTATGTATGTATCTGTTGAGACTCGAGCCAGACCTTGGTGGTGTCGAGCAGGAAGGATACAGTTTCTATACGGTGCAGCTTAAGCCCGAAACCCACCTCAGGGTAACCGGTCTGATATACACCAACAATAGGATGCCTTGTTGACAGACACACCCGCTTTACGTTCACACTGACAGTGAGAGGACTTTGGGAACTAGAGGATTAGATCTTGTAACCTATGTTTATTTGTTGTTTATGTGATGACACACTCCAGCTATATGACGGCGGTCTGTAAATAGTCAAGTCTGGACCAGACAATACAGTGATCAACAGCATGAGCATCGATCGATTGGGATACAATGACATGTGTCAACCAAGTTAACTAGCCTGACTACCTAATCCTGTAAGTTGCCTCTTACATTGTCACCTGTGCCATGCGGGTGAATTGTATGAGATAAAATTGCTACATAACATTCGCTCAAGTCTGAGGTTTTAACCATGGCATCACTTGAGGGTTGTCATAAAGGCACACTCAGCTGAATGGAGAATGAAATGGGTTTTACAGCACTGTATTCTAGTTACATCCGGGTGTGGCTGGAAGAGTGAGTGAGTGAGTGAGTGAGTGAGTGAGTGAGTGAGTGAGTGAGTGAGTGAGTGAGTGAGTGAGTGAGTGAGTGAGTGAGTGAGTGAGTGAGTGAGTTTAGTTTTATGCCGCTTTTAGCAATAGTCCAGCAATATCACAGTGGGGGACACCAGAAATGGGCTTCACACATTGTACCCATGTGGGGAATCGAACCCAGGTATAGGACGTGATGAGCAAAAGCTTTAACCACTGGGCTACCCCACCGCCCCATGGCTGAAGAGCTGGGGTGAAGCAGGTCCATAAAACTAATGGCGCCAAAGTCTGGAATATCAGACCTCCATATATCTCTGTACACAATACTGACTGAAGGTTTGGTTTTCGCGGCTTTTAGCAATATTCAGTAACATCCGCATGGGGACACCAGAAATGGGCTTCACACATTGTGCCCATGTGGGGATTTGAACCTTAGCCCCGGTGACGAATAGCGGCGCTTTAACCATTAGGCTACCCCACCGCCTGTACATCAATAACCATGAGAATGGCCAGTGGTGATCTGCAGTCTGCCACTGCCACCTACCTGGGGAGTCCATCACCTGCCTGCAGATCTTCACCAGGTTCTGGTGAACAGATCCCTTAGAGACTGCTTGAGGTCTATTCCTTCCTTCACTGTCACCACACAGGCCTGCAGCAAACAAACACATCATCTTGGCATGAAAATGAATAACTGAGTTTGATTTCAATGCTGTATTTTTAGTTAAAGTGACAGAACAAGATTTCGTTTTCAATTAAATAGTGACAAAACAGTATGAAAGTTACACTTGACCACTATTCTGACCCAGTATTTCAGTTACAGCACCTTTGTTACAGAGACTTTTTCCCATTACCAAACTTATGAAACAGTATGTCAGTTACATCACCATAGTGATAAAACAGCATTTCCGGTTACATGGTTACATTCATGGTTACAGACAGTATTTCCATCACATCATCATGGTTACCATTACATAACTATAGTTACAGACAGTATTTCCATCACATCACCATGGTTACCATTACATCACTATAGTTACAGACAGTATTTCCATCACATCATCATGGTTACCATTACATCACTATAGTTACAGACAGTATTTCCATCACATCACCACAGTTAGCATTACATCACTAAAGTTACAGACAGTATTTCCATCACATCACCATGGTTACCATTACATCACTATAGTTACAGACAGTATTTCCATCACATCATCATGGTTACCATTACATCACTATAGTTACAGACAGTATTTCCATCACATCACCACAGTTACCATTACATCACTAAAGTTACAGACAGTATTTCCATCACATCACCATGGTTACCATTACATCACTATAGTTACAGATCGTATTTCAGTCACAACACAACAACTACATCACTATAGTTACAGACAGTATTTCAGTCAATTCACTACAGTTACAGAGAAGTGCTTAGTTACATCACCCGCGTACAGAACAATGTTTAGTTGATCACCACTGTACAGAACAGTGTTTAGTTGATCACCACAGTGACAGTATTTAGTTGATAATCATACAATGACAGTATTTAGTTGATCACCACAGTGACAGTATTTAGTTGATCATCATACAATGACAGTATTTAGTTGATCATCATACAATGACAGTATTTAGTTGATCACAACAGTGACAGTATTTAGTTGATCACACAGTCACAGTATGTAGTTGATCACCACAGTGACAGTTTAGTTGATCACCACAGTGACAGTATTTAGTTGATCACTCCGGTGACAGTGTATTTTAGTTGATCACACGTAGTTGATCACCCACAGTATGTTTAGCTGATCACCACAGTGACAGTGTTTAGTTGATCACAACGGTGACAGTATTTAGTTGATCACCACAGTGACGGTATTTAGTTGATCACAACAGAGACGGTATTTAGTTTGATCACACAGGGTTAGTTTGATCACCAAAGTGACGAGTATTTAATTGATCACACAGTGACAGTATTTAGTTGATCACCACAGTGACGGTATTTAGTTGATCACCACAGTGACAGTATGTAGTTGATCACACAGGGACGGTATTTAGCAAATCCTGCACGCAGGTACCACGGCCTCCTCAATCTCACTGTCCATGTCCAGCATGACATGCTCCGCCCCTCTTGCAGACCCTGGCTCTCATTGTACTCAGCTCCCTGCAACACCCTCCTCGTCGTGATGAACTCCCGCGGTGGTGTCTATGGAGCCGGTTTAGGGGCTCTGGGTGGCCAAAGAAGGATTTGGAACAAATCGAGAAGGTGATGTGGTCTTGAGAGACATTGGAATATCTCATTGATAAACCCTGCAACAACAAAAATGATACAGTGAGAGAGAGCCTTTTTTTTCACACTTCAAAGCAATATCACACATACAATGGCCTTGGCAAAGTATGCATGAGGGATCAAACCAGTACCGGCATTACATGCAAACACTCTTACCATTGGACCCACCTAGCCTGAGACAAGAGCAGGCTGTAGGAAGAAAATGAAAGGGTCTTATCCACTTTTATCAATATTCCCAGAATATATACTCTGACCAGGAACTCCATCACTGAAACCAATTAGAAATCCTGGGACATAGTCTGTCCTCAGGAACTAAGCCAAGTGAAAGACTGACCTTCACCACTGCGTGGTGGCAGGAGTGTCACAGCCAAGTGTGGACAGGAAGTGTAGTGTGCCGTATCCTGCTCCTCCTGGCCTGTGGCAGCTCGACTCATGTGACCCAATCCCGACACCAGGCGTGTGAATGCATCGATCCGACTTGACACCTGGGGCCTGGCACAGGAGGCAGGTGGACCTCAGCGAGCTGGGGGCTGACTAGCTGGGGCTGCTGACTCTGTGGATTCTGAAAGAAGGATCAAATGGAGGGTTCACAAAATGGAGAAAGCGTTTCCATTTATGTCACTGCAGAATGTTTTAGGTCACTCATAGAGAAACTGATTGAGTATATTTCTACAATAGATCAGACCAAGAATAGGGTGTCTACATTATTACCAATGTGGTGAACAGAAACCTTGTCAACAAACATTTTCAACCACTTGGTCACATCTATATTAACAAAACTGATTATCCAGCCTCATGTAAGAATGTCGAGTTTTGATTGGTTCACGTGACTCTGATAAAATACCATGTACACCCGTCACGATCCATGAGCAGGGAGTACAAAAGTCATATTATCCCGCCACGCCTGCGGTGACCATAGCGAAGTGAGAAAAGCATGCATCGTAAAGCCTTTAGTAGCGTGCGCTGCATTGAGGTCAATCGATCAGCTGTTGTCAACAAGTTGATTCGATGCGTATTGTTTTCTTTTGATTTAGTAAAAACATTCGGCTAGATAAATGCGTTATCACATCGTCCTGAGGGACTGATAAAAGCCCATATTTCCCAAGACACGATGTGATAACTTATAATATAAACACACAAAAATTTCTTTGTAGGGGGCTGTTTTCGCAAAAAACTATCCATGCACATTGTTTTTAAATCTAACCACATACCTATCACAAGCAGAAGCTAAATGGCCATTTCTTTCCATCAAACACAGATGGGAATTCTAAGAAACACACACTGATAAATTCTAAGAACAAGACACTGAGGATACTTCCTGTTGAGACACACACAAGTATGTTGGTAACATTGCAGTTTTACGAGTCAGGAGACGCATCAGTTGATTATGTTTTGATTAACAAAACATAACAATAAGAGACATACTTTCTAAAGTTCAATTTGATGTTTCATTTTTTTGATGAATATCAATCAGTCTCCTAAGTTCATCACTGATGCAAGCAAGATCAATTGATTGACCAACTATTTGATTAATAGTTCCATCACTAGTTGTAGTGGTGCAACAAGTTTGTAAGTGAACTTACTGCTGACTGCAGCATGTCTCGAAGCATCTGCATCATTGGTGGCACCGGTGCACTCCCTGGATTGTCAGTAGGGGGCGCTGGTGCACGGGGTCCCAGCATGGGGCCAAAAGTGCCCTGCAGGAGGGAGGCAAAGGGGTTGGCAGGGATGGGGCCAGGTTGGGAGAAGGTCGTGTGGGTAGTGGCTCGGCTTGATGCGGCTCCATGGGCAGGGTGTGTTGAGGTGGGACCCCCAGGGGCGACTGAGGCTGGGGCTGATCGTGGGGGACCTGCAACAATAAGGAAACATAATGTAAGTAATAAATAGGATTAATAGATTATACACATGAAGTACTTAACGCCACAATGTTAGCCTGTAGTGAGTGAGTTTAGCAATATTCCAGCCATATGGCGGCGGTCTGGAAATGATCGAGTGGACCAGACCATCCAGTGATCAACAGCATGAGCATCGATTTACGCGCAATTGGGATATGATGACATGTGTCAACCAAGCCAGTGAGCCTGACCACCCGATCCCGTTAGTCGCCTCTTACAACAAGCATGGGTTACTGAAGGTTCCTTCTAAACTGGACTTTCACGGGTTGTTAGCCTGTAAATAACCGAGTCTTGACCAGATAATCTAGTGATTGGTACTGTGAAGCAATCAATGTCCTCACATGCTAACAACCAAGTCAACAAACCTGACCACTTGGGAGGGGTTGTCTTGAGTGGAGAGTGAGTGAGTGAGTGAGTGAGTGAGTGAGTGAGTGAGTGAGTGAGTGAGTGAGTGAGTGAGTGAGTGAGTGAGTGAGTGAGTGATGAGTGAGTGAGTATGGTTTTACATCGCTTTTAGCAATATTCCAGGAATATTATGGCGGGAGAACACCAGAAATTGGCTTCACACATGGTACACATCGGGCTACCCCATGCCCCATGTCAGCATTGAGGCCTGCCAGAGCTCACCTGGGTGGTCTGCTTTGCCATGCTCAGGGTGACTTGTATTAAATGTCAACCTACCCTGACCAAGTCTGACCATCCTTGCCACTTGCAAATAGAAGAGGCTGCTGAGAAACCATTCTTACCTGTAATTCCCACAGAGTTATAACAGGAATGTCTATTTGTTTTTAACTCTGCAGTCAGAAATAATCCAGCTTTATCATGGCAGGCTGTAAATATGATGACATTTATCAGCCGCACTTGCAAATAGTCCAGCTATTAGTATATGTGTGAGTGAGTGAGTGAGTGAGTGAGTGATGGTGAGTGAGTGAGTGAGTGAGTGAGTGAGTGAGTGAGTGAGAGTTTAACATAAGGTCGCTTTTAGTAATATTCGAGCTAACGCTTGAATCACTAGGCTACGTCACCACCCCTCCAGCTATATGATGGCAGTCTGTAATACAGCCTCGACCAGACATAACAGCAGCTAACATCATGCAACTGATCTATGCAACTGGGATACGTTAACATGCATCTATCAAGACAATGAGCTTAACCACCTCCCACTAGTCGCCTTTTCTGACAAGCATGGGTTACTGAAGACCAACTCTAGTCAGCATCATTATGAGTAAAGCAGGAAGGATGATCCCTTACCATGAGGAACATTTCCTAGAAGTCCATTCATTAGGTTGGACACCATATCAGATAATGCATTCTCTGGGCCCTGAAACAAAGAAAATAAAAGAGACTTTTTTACTTAAAATGTCAGCTACAGTCATGAACATTTCTGAAAAGCTCTCTATGATTGGCCTGCTGAACTAAACCTATGACAAAGTTATGGGGCAGACAAACCTGGAATTATAATCAGGATGACTATGAGATTCAAACCTACAATCACAGAACTCTAGCAAATGGTGACAGAAAACCATCTTCTACATTATTGGTTTTCTAAACCCTAGTTATGCTTCTAAACTGTAGGTAGGTTTTTCATATTTAAGCTTAGTAATTCACGAACAAAAATACCAAACCATTATCCAGTGACACCTATCACAAAGTTTCTTTTCACCACTTTGGAAAGAAGACATGAACACAAGATTCTGAAAAAGTCAAAGGCAAAACCTTTTGTCTTCATAATTTTGTTTGTGGTGGTGGTGGTGGGCAACATTTGTTTAGCATGTCAACGTCATTTGTTCCTTTAAACCTTAAACCATAATTAATCTGGTCTGGACCAGACAATGCAGTGGTCAATAGTGGTGGTCCGATTAATTGAAATAATCGAAGAGTGGTTGCAGAGACTAAACGACCAAGCAATCGATCATGTTTTCTCATGATCGAACACAAACAATTCTGGAACACTTGTTGGCTTTCACACGGTTGGTTTTGTCTGTTACATTTCATGAGCACTACAAGTTCGTCCAAGTCATGATTGAATTTATCTTAAAGACCCCCAAAAGATTTATGTTCCTAACATACTAGTCATCTTTTAAAGTTGAGCAATTTGCAAAAACCCCCAAAGAACTACATGTTTTTTCTTTATGCTTTTGTGCAAACAAACATAACCAGGAAAATCTGATAAATGATGCGAACCAAGTATTTTCGATGATTGATCGGTTGTAATGAACCAATCATCAATTATGAGATTTTAACCAATTCCCAACACTAGTGGTCAATATTGTCAGCATCAATCCAAACTGTGGGTGTGAAGATATGCTATCAAGCAAGACACTGCACCTAACGACTAGAGCCAACTCTAGACCAGGATCTGGTTTTGTTTGTTTGCTGTTAAATGCTGCATTGAGCAATATTCCATCCGTCTGTAAAGTCTAGACCACACAATTCAGTGATTAACAGCTTGAGCATTGATCTACGCAACTGGGATACGAAGACATGTGTCAACCAAGTCAGTGAGTCTGACCACCCAATAACCCTTGTCGTCTCTAAAGACAAGAATAGGTTGCTGAAGACCAATTCTAACCGGATCTTCATGTGTTGACCAGGATCTGATGCTACAGGGTGAAATAACCCATTGCCAGACGTCCGAGTCCAGTGTTTTTCTGTCGGGGAAGCAAATTTATTTATCACACTGTACGGTGTCCAGTTGACTTTCCAATGTTAATTATGTTGTTTATTTTAAAAAATCAACAAGAAAACGGCCGGTATAGTGGGAAAATTATCAGGGCAAGTGATTTTACATGTGCCACTGTTCGGGAGTACACTAGCAATTTTAAAGTTATTTCCACCCCTGCATCTAACCTGGAATATCCACTAGGGCTGTCTACATTGAACATGGAGTTATAGACTTGCTGAAGCTCACCTGGCTGGTCTGTGTTGCCATGTTGCGGGTTCTCTGGGCCAGGAAATGGTGGGAGTTACAGGGAAGGTATGGGTCAACCGGCCTGGGGACACCATCCAGCATCATAGGAGGGATGAGGCGTGGACCGGGCACTCCTGTAAGCAAATATCAGCATTATAAGTTGACTATTCTTTCTCTTAACCAAATGGCCAGAGCATGAGGTCCTATCCACACCCTCAAGGACCATGAAACAACAGACAACAAAGTGGCGTATTCACCTGATTCATATGCATTTCGACATTCACACTTGCAAACTTAAAAACCTAATTCTATATAAATATGTACATCTGTGAAAAACGGCAGCTGTCCAATCCGCAAGTCGTCTACACCAGCATAAAATTTCAGTCCCGTCTGTGGCTAGTACATTTTCATCATTTAAAAGCTCTGCAATACGGCAGCTGTCAATTCTGGATCTCAGCATGAAATGAGTCACCCGGATATGTGTATATACAGTAATCAGCGCTGTTCAATCTGGCGTGTAGCGGACGAATGTGTATTGTCACCAATTAATCCTGTGTTGAAACTACATGGTTGCCACAAAGACAATTTAATCTTAGTGCAGTATGGGTATATGGAATTAGTGAGTTGACACATATTACTGTAAATGTGTGTAGTAATTGAGAGAACCATGTGATACAACAATTTATTACCCACGTGGTCAACGTATGGGTAGTTGCATACTAATCTCGTACGTCACACGAGTGTCGTATCGCGTTGACCTGTGCCGTAACAACTTGACCTGAGATTCTAACGATTTGATTGGATAACCGATGACCTCTCAATTAGGTCACATTCTGACTTGCTATTTTTTCATTCTTAAAAAAACACATGAATTCATTCATTCTACAACTTAAATGCATTGTGGGAATGTAAACATTGCGAACGTTGCCGTGTCGCTGTTTAATTATGAGTCGAACTGAGACATTATATCCGTCGAAAAACATAAACGCAATGTTTCCACCAGTGATGTTAGCCGAATGAAGCAACTACAAACCAAGAAACGAGGTGCTACGTAGTAGTTTACTGTAGGAGGCTGCACGAATGCAATGATGACAACTGACAGGCATCGTGACGTCGGTTACTAAGGCAGTGACATCATTACAGTGTGACATCATGAAAATATTGTACTACAGTACAAAACTCTTCCGCAACCTCTTTATGAAACCGGTTTCGGTTTGAAACCATAAAAATATCAAAAATACGCTATTTTGTCAATTTAATGCATGTAAGACGTGGGTAATAAATATAATACCACACTCGGTCTCATTACATACGAATTATACGAAACTCGTGACCTTCCTATGGTATCTGACCGAGCGAAAGCGACGGTCAGATACCATAGGAAGGACACTCGTTTCATATAATTTGTATGTAATGAGACCTCGTGTAGTATTCTCTATGTATATGAGGGAGACAAGACTGGTTCAGTTGCAAGTCGTAGGTAACCATGTCAGCTCTACAATCCGGCACGCTGTCTAAACCGGATTATTTCTTGAGTCCCGACAAGTGCCGGTGTAGACAGCATCCACTATATATGAATAAATTTTCCATAAATATTTTATTAAAAAATAGTGTTTCAACTGTCGTAGGAAGTTCCTACCTGTTGTCGTCGTTGATGCTGTAGCTGATGCCTGTGCAGTTGATGATGCTCCTGCTGAAGTAGCTGAAGCAGTTCCAGACGGTGTAGTAGTAGCCGACGTGGATGCATTTGTAGCTGCAGAACTAGAAGCAGTCGTGGTTGCTGTGGACGACTGTGATGTTGATGAAGCTGGAGCTGCTGGGTTGGGAGCTGTCGGTGTTGTTGTTGCAGACATAGCAGCGGGGTTGAGGACGCGGGTGATGTTGATGCCACCGGGCATCTGTCCACCAAGACTGGACATAGGGACTGGCACTACGTTAATCTGCACTGGTTGGCCTTGGCGGTGACCTGGTGAGTGAGTGAGTGATTGTCTTTTACACAGATTTCAAAGTGTTTTAGTTATAGTTATTCTCTTCTTGTACTAGCCTAATACCAGCAGTACCTGGCATAGCCTAGGGAGGCAACTCTGCACTCCTTGTCTGAAGTTTAATTATCACTGTATTAAACAGGTCTCGGTCATGATATGACAACTCACACCACTTGTAAAAGAGTGAAGCTGCCATTAAGGTCTGGATTACAAAGAAATAGCTGAATAAAATATTAAAAATGATATCAACAAGGCCAATTAGGCACTTACCGAAAAATCCCTTCATTAGCCAATTATAGAGCCACTCGATATCCTACTTAAAAAAAATCCTCATTAAAAACTACACAATAACCAATTTAAACCTAGCCTGTTTGAAGCCACTCAGTAACCAAATTTAGAATGACCCTTACTGATCAATATCATAAACCCTTCCATGTCAGTTTGATAAACCACGAGTGAGTTTAGTTTTACGCCGCACTCAGCAATATTCCAGATATGGCAGCGGAGGACACCAGAAATGGTCTTCACACATTGTACCCATGTGGGGAATAGGACTCGGGTCTTCGGCGCGATGAGCGAACACTTTAACCGTCGGGACGAGACAATGAAGTTTTTAATGGCATGTGCATCGATCTACACAAATGGGATACAACGACGTGTGTCAAACAAGTCAGCGAGCCTGACCACCCGATCCTGTTAGCCACCTCTTACAAGCATGGGTTACTGAAGATCAATTCTAACCCGGATCTTTACGGGTTATATGAGGAAAGAGAGGGTATATATAGTATGACCAGAAATTATTGAGAATTTTAGGAATATGTTTAATTGGATTTCTAGTATAAACAACCTTGACCAGCTATCAAGTGCTTGGTTTCATTCAAGAGAGACAACTCTGTTAATCCTTTTTCCTTAGTTTGTGAAGAGTTACCCCCCTTTGTTTACTTCCCCTCTTTGTTTACTTGCTAGCAGAAGACATTTTCAGTGATACTGAGTCTTGATGATTTAGAGAAGGGAAGTTGATTTTAGAGTAAAATCATAAATATTTCACACAAACAGGTTCCCTACCATGTTGATGCAGCACAGATGATATTATGTTCTGCATCATGTCTGGAGGTAGCCCAGGGATGTTCATTCCGGTCAGACCAGGGATTGGAGGGGGTGGGGCAGAGGGTGTGGCACCACCTGATGACGTCGTCGACGTTGTTGTTGTTGCACTACTGGAGGAGCTTGAGGAGCTTGAGGAGCTGGTAGAAGTGGTCCCTGTGGTGCCGTTAGCTCTTTGTCTGTCTCCATTACTGCTGCTCTCGTTGCCAATGATCTGGGTGGAGATGCTGTTGACAGTGACCGAGTCGGGCCCCACCTCCACGTAGACGTATGGGTTGTTGGCTGTGCCGGACAGGAAGCCTGGGGGTAGGGGACCAATGGACCCAGTAGACCCAGGGGGCACCTGCAGGAGACAATGTCATAATCCAATCACTATAATTTACAAACTATCTGAAAATGGGAGCATGCGGTTGCCTTGTGTGGACCTATTTCAATTTGGAATTCCTGTTCTTTTAAAAATAGGATTTATCTATATGCATCTGTTTGTGTCATCATCAATAGTCTTGCATGTTAACAAGAAGACAAAGTCATCAATATCCCCCTCAACGTCAAAATACTCTTTATGACTATGTCTACTAGTTATGATTATGTGAAATGTTTTGGAGTGTATACAGCAAAGTGGAAGGAGAGTATTGAAAGCTTTTAAGATCTGCTCCAGAGGGGAGCACTACCACCAAATTCAGTTGAAGCCTAACTTGTTGCCATGGAAATGCAACAAGATGACATTCTCATAGTCGCAGCCTAAGTCATGTTTCCATGGAAATGCAAAAAGTAAAATTCATATCTGAGTCTAAACCCCAAAAGGCACATCTAGGGATCATGCTTGACATATGTACCAGGTCTGATGAAGCTAGCATGTATAGTTTGGTATATCTGCTCCGGACAAGATGACATCCTCATGACCACAGCATAAATCATGTTTCCATCTGGGTCTAACCCCCAAAAGGCACATCTAGGGATTATGGTTGACATGTGTACCAAGTTTGGTTAAGCTGTCACCAATAGTTTAGGAGATAAGCTTTGGAGAAAGTGTGACGGACGCACGGACGAACGCACGCACTGACGGATGGATGGAAGGAACTCGTTTCTATATCCCCCACAACCTCGTTGTTGCTGGGGATAATTATCAATATCATTACCTGTTCCTGAAGACCACTTTACCAACATATGCACAATGGTGAAAACAAAGAAACAACTTACATTGGGTTGTGATGTTGTTGTTGTTGTAGATGTTGCTGTTGCAGATGTTGCTCCTGCCGTGGTTGTAGCTCCGTCCTGTGGCGCTGATGCCTCTGGTCGAGGCTGTGTTGTTGTCACTGTTCGTCTCACCAGGCGTGGAGAACCCACACTGAACTGAGCCTACATAGTGAAATATTATATGTGAATAAAGCCCATATTTGGGAACATGTATTACACCAAATGGACCACAACTTCAGGAATTTGCTTTGTTTGTTGTTTAACACCGCACTCGGCAATATTCCGGCAATATTCCAACTATATTGAGTCTGGACCAGACAATCCAGTGATCAACAGCATAAGCATCGATCTACGCAATTCGGATACAATGACATGTGTCAACCAAGCCTGACCACTCGAAGCTCTTACGACAAACATGGGTTACTGAGTATCAATTCTAACCCAGATCTTCACGGGTCTCCAGCTGTATTGGGTGGTGAGATGTAAATACTTACCCTGACTGGAATACCCTGATGGGGAATTCCTGGCATCAGAGGTTGAGTGGGCGCTGTGTACATACGTCGAGCAGGGGGTGTTGCCATGTCAACCATCAGGTCACTAAGGTTGTGATAGGTGTGGCTGATAGCATGAAGAGCTTCCGAAACCAGGTTGAACATCCGCTGGGGCTCCTGTACTTGCTGAAACACACATGGTACCAGACAACCATTTAACACTGCTACAGGGACCAATATAAGTATTTAGAACCGGCACACATACCAACTTGAACCTGGTGCATGTTAATATTTTGATGTTAAAAGAATACACACTTCAGCTGAGAAACTAGGTGAGGTGAAATTGGGTTTAATGTCGTGCTTGAAAATATTACACTCATATGACGACGTGCATGCGTGTGTATGTGTATGTGCGGCTGCTTGTACTAGCCCAGACTGAAGCTGGTTTTATAGTGCTAGCCCACTGAGATACCACGCCGCAGCGAAGCATGACTACCCCACTCAGACACATTATACTGACTCCGAGCCGACCAGTCCTTGTTGTACCCATTAATGCCGAGCGCCAGGCAGGGACCAAAAAGTACCATATTTTAACGTCTCATGGTATGACGCGGTCGGGGATCGAACCTGCGACCTTCTGCTCTCCGGGCGGATGCTCTAACCACTATACCACGGAGAGTGAGAAACAAAATGTTGAGGGACTGGCTTGACTCCGAGAACTACACGTACAGTGATTAAATGAATGTTACTCTTCATGTCATGACATTTCATGATATAAGATAAAATGATCTCAAAGGACCCAGAATTTTTTGGTTATAATGATTTTCAGAATGATCAATACTAAAGCTCAAGTATTATACATAATTCCATATTGAGCAGCAGGAGCAATCTGTTTTTGTCTGGTGCAACAAGCTTCTACCCAAGGTTACACTGGGTGCAAGAAGGTTTCATTTCTTTAAATCGAGCCCTTCTGCTCTGAACAGTATTTCCATGCTCTCTTGCCTTGAACCAGGTCATAGACAACTGTCTGTCTACAAAGGATCATGGGTATGGTATCACAGGGCATGGATACAAACCAAAGGTCAGCTGACCTTAGTGTTTAAGGGAGGCAACTCTGCACAGAAGTATCTGCATGTATATGCCTATAACATGCCCCCATGATCTTCACAAAGATCAAGGATGTGACATGTACATGCTTAACACATACAGAAGCAAATAAAATCCCACAAAAACAACAGTACAGTCACAGCACCACCAGACATGACATCTATTCATATCTATCATTTCCAAAAATATCACTGCCATATTTGTTATACTTATAATAATAATAATAATAATGGATATTTTTAGTGCGCCATTTTCCACCCACTGATACATGCTCAAGGCTCTTATGACCATTTTAATAACCAATCAAACTCTTAATTAAGAGTAAGTGTAATAGAGGCAACTAAAAATTGAGTGTGGCCCCAGTTTAAATGGACATGAGGACCTCTTTTACCTCAAATAGACAGTTTTTTCGGCAACACTCTTGTTAACTTGATCAAGGGGACTGGCTGTCATGTTGGTATTACCCCAACTCAACACTGAGTGAGTGAGTTAAGTTTTACGCCGCACTCAGCAATATTCCAGCTATATGGCGGTGGTCTGTAAATAATCGAGTCTGGACCAGACAATCCAGTGATCAACAGCATGAGCATTGATCTGCGCAACTGGGAACCGATGACATGTGTAAACAAAGTCAGCGAGCCTGACCACCCGATCCTGTTAGTCGCCTCTTACGACAAGCATAGTCGCCTTTTGTGGCAAGCATGGCTTGCTGAAGACCTATTCTACCCCGGATCTTCACAGGTCAACTCAACACTGAGGCTGGTATGTAACCTGCATTCTGATTGGTACATTATAACCTTGCAGAGTAGCCATTTAAATTAGAAAAAAAAAACAGAAATCAAAATGCAGGCAATTTGTCATTGCAAAAACCACATGAAAGGATCCATGGGTTAGAGTAGGGTTACTGAAATGCAAGCCTTGAGATATACAGGATGAAATGTCACAACTTACATCATTCTGTAGTTCCATATCCTCAGCCATAATGTCGCGTGATCGGGCTACATGGGGCTGGAGGCGGCCGTGCAGCTCCATCACATCACCCAGCAACTCCGACATCGACGTCAACCTGGGAGCCTCACTGAAAAGACAAATCTCTACAGTAAGGTTTGTTTATTTTATTATGATTATTGGTTTGTTTTCCCAAAATCCAAAATTAGATCCAGTTAGCTTTAGACAACATACTTGTTTGAATAAAAGTGAGAAAGCGAGTCTGACGATGCTTAGAGCTGTATTCCATTTACATGGGTGGGTCTGTGGGTCTGTGGGTGAGTGAGTGAGTGAGTGAGTGAGTGAGTGAGTGAGTGAGTGAGTGAGTGAGTGAGTGAGTGAGTGAGTGAGTGAGTGAGTGAGTGAGTGAGTGAGTGAGTGAGTGAGTGAGTGAGTATTCCAGTAATATCAGGGTAGGGACACCAGAATTAGGTGAGGTGAAATTGGGTTTATCGTTGTGCTTGAGAATATTTCGCTCATATGACGACGTGCATGCGTGTGTATGTGTATGTGTGGCTGCTTGTACTAGACCAGACTGAAGCTGGTTTTATAGTGCTAGCCCACTGAGATACCATGCCGCAGTGAAACATGAGTACCCCACTCAGACACATTATACTGACTCCGATCCAACCAGTCCTTGTTGTACCCATTAATGCCAAGCACCAGGCAGGGACCAACAAGTACCATATTTTAACGTCTTTTGGTATGACGCGGTCGGGGATTGAACCTGCGACCTTCCGCTCTCCGGGCGGACGCTCTAACCACTACACCACGGAGGCGGTTTCACCAGAATTAGGCTCAAACATTATACACATGTGGGGAATTGAACCTGGGTTTTCCGCATTATGAGCGAACACCTTAACCACTAGGCTATTTCACAGCCCCTGTATGTGGAGGAAAGCCTCAAGTGATGCAGGTTCTATATGTTTAGGTACTATAAATACATGAGGAGGGGTAAGGTGCTGACAAACCTTGAAACAATCGGTTTGAACCAGGATTTAAACCATTGATGAATTAAAGTACTTTTTCATTGCAAGAATGTGTTATGTGTAACTGTGCATTTATTTCTTGACCCTTTAAACAAACAACAGATAATAAGTTTGAAGTCATTTCATGAATACTTGGTTTGGGTTTGGTTTGTTGTTTAAGGCCGCACTCAGCAATATTCCAGCTACATGACGGTGGTCTGTAAATAGTCGAGTCTGGACCAGACAAACCAGTGATCAACAGCATCGATCTATGCAGTTAGGATACGATGACATTTGTCAACCAAGTCAGCGAGCATGTCCACCTGATCCCGGTAGTCGCCTCTTACGACAAGCATGGATTACTGAAGATCAATTCTAACCTGGATCTCCATGGGTATGAATACCACGTAACACTGATCACACATAAGGATTTATTAAAGGATTATCACAAATAAACAGGTTGTGTCCTATTTCGGGATGAACAGAGAATCATCTGACTCCAAACTTACCTATCTCTCCTCTGTTGCCCATTGGCTTGATTAGATGAACTGTCAGCTGCTGGTGCACCTGCCCTGGCTTCTGATTGGCTGTCGGCTGCTGGTGTATCTTCCCTGGCTTGTGATTGGCTGCTGGTTGCTGCATCATCTCTGCCTTGTGATTGGCTGTTGGTTGCTGGTCTCTTTTCCTTTGCTTCTGATTGGCTCGCTGTGTCAGCTGATGCGCCACTGGGAGAAGATGTGTCCATATCAGATTCTTCATTGGAATCACTGGTTGTTTGTGGTTGCTCACGATTTTGATTTTCGTCTTGGCCTTCCATGTTTTCAGCTTGTTGTTCGCTAGGGGGAGTCTGTAATCAATACAAGGGTTTGTACAGTTGACTTTTGTACAGTTGGCCCATTTCTCTCAGTCAGCTGCTGATTACACAATTACTGGTTCTTAGTGTCCAGTAAAAAACAATTATTGAACTATTTACCAAGTTCTGAAAGTTGAAGGTCTTTGGTGCCCGATCTTTTCAGCATTCTGCAGCAGTGTTATGTCATTCTCTAAGCCTACATCTTAGATGAGCCCCGACATTTATTGTCTTTAAATCATAACTAAAGACCCAGTCATTTCATCAAATGTGATTTATACTGCCCACAAGGCATGGAGTTACAGTGTTTCAAAGTAGTATCATACCCATAACAGGGGTGGAAATAACCCATTGCAAATTTGTATATCCCGCTGTACCGGTGTCCAGTTGACTTTCCAATGTTAACAATGTTGTTTATTTAAAAAATCAACAAGAAACGGCCAGGATAGTGGAAAAATGATCAGGGCAAGTGATTTTACATGTGCCACTGTACCGGAGTACAATAGCAATTTTAAAGTTATTTCCACCCCTGCATAACTAGTGGTGGTTATCAGTCACAATATGCAGATCGATAACCAGAGCTGAGTAAATCAATACATCAAGGACATCCCAAGCCCATCGATAATTACTGATGCAAGCTAGATTGATTATTGGATCAATCAATCCAGAACTACCCACCACTATGATCATTATTATCATGACTAAGTTCCCACTCACCTCTAGTTTGTTGACTGCCTCTCTAGCGATGTCCAGCATCTGTCTGGCCTGGGTCATCCTCAACTGGGCCCCATTGGCTAGGGCAGAGGCTGGTACTTGTCCAAGGTTGATGTGGACATCGAGGGAGGAGCCATCAGTCTGAAACCAAAACATTTTGTGTAACATAAACTAAAGATGTGTCACAATACGCCTTGACATTACTTGTGTCATGATATAAGTAGCATAAGATTCAATTAGCATTGTTTTTGTGTGAACCTCTCGCTGTTCCAAGAGTGAGTGAGTGAGCATGGTTTTACACCACTTTTAGCTATATTCCAGCAATATCACAGCTAGTGACACCAGAAAAAGGGCTTCACACATCACTGTTCCCTGAGATCTGGCTACCAAAGATGCAAGAACTGTCTGAGTAGACAGTCAAAGGGTACTTGGTACCTACTCTTGATCCAGAATCCCTAACAGTTTATTCAGGACCCGGGTAGTGAAAATTATTTTCAGGTAACTTTGGTAACCCCAGTCCTACTATTAAGATCTTCAGCAAAAGTTAATCTCTGATTGTAAGACATAAAAACGTCCAACTCACCGAAGCTCTTGTTGACACACGAGCATTTCTCCAGTTGTCTCCCATCCCAGAAATGGCTTGTTGAACTATGTTCTGTAAAGCAAACATGAAAATTTTAATATAAATTGTATATTTATATACTTATCCTATCTCACGGTATGCACTTCTCTTTCTTGATTCGACACTGAGTGGAACGATGTAAACTTTTTTCCCTAGGCCTCTCTTGTCCATCCGCCCAAGCACTCAATGCACACCTCATTATAAGACAGCTTCCTAGCTCTCATGCAAAGCATGCGACATGCACCACTAGCTGCCCACGTGACTATCTCCGAATCATCATTCTCATTCTTGGAGCCACTGGATAATATCCATCGTGGAGAATCTGCATAGTGGGGAGGATGGGCGGGAATCCGTCGCATGAGATAGGATAAGTATATAAAGATACAATTTATATTAAAATTTTCAAATTTTGAAACTTATCCTATCTCACGGTATGCACTTATCCCACGGTCGGACAGCAGATACCCTGTGTCTTGACAGTGCGAACAGCAGGAACTGTGTTGACTGGAAACGACCGTAGATAGCGATGCACAAGGGAGGCCTGTTATGGCTAGCGCAACTCCTATGCTTGTGAAGAGTTCTCTTGAACTCCTTGGCTTACTAAGCACAACGTCTCCCAGGGAGATGGGTGCTCCCGAGCGATGTGGTGTTCGGCCGCAACCTCCGAAGAAAAGACGCAGCTCAGCGAGAAAGGATGTCACTTTGCCACGATTTTCAAGGTACCCCGGTAAATTAAAGTCGGTTGACAATAATCGGGCCAGCCCCTGCTTCGAGAAGACCCCCAAAAGACACCGACCAGGGGCGGGTGAAAGTGAAGCACAACTCGGGAACTCCAAGTTTTAACATTCAGTTCCGGAACAGCATCAAAATGATCCTCACTCCTTTGCATAAGCTTAGTCAAAGAATGTGCCCGGCAACTCGGAGTCGGAACGCAACGAAATCGACTGGAATTCGGGAGTGACCCACTTCACCGACGTAATTGCTTCGAAAAGTAGAGGTCAGGAAACAGAATCGAGCTCCAGATTCGTCCAACCACCGAGGTGGTAGTATCTCCGTGTCTTAGTATCAAACTAAGTGAAGTAGTTCTAACCCATAAGCAATCAAAACATAAGGCAGACAGCAAGTTCAGACTTATATTCAAGAAAATACAGGGAAGCAGCAACCGCGAGGGACTGTTCCCTATCTGTGTTGGTGGGCCGTAGACAGCTGTTGTGCAAGCACAAGGGGTCCAAAGTGGTGCAGGCCTTGGACATCCTTGACTGAGAGGTCTCGAAGGTAGTGCGAGGAGAAGACCGAGTCGGATCGCCAGAAGCAACCTTCAATAATGGCATGGACAGAGCAGTTAATATGCAGAGCCATTGTAAACGCTAACACCCGTGTCTCATGGATGTTGAGGACAATTGAATGAAGAGGTGGCGATCTTTAGAAGCAGCAAGAAAAAGCTTCAAAGCCCTAACAGGGCAAAGCTGCAGGTCTTCATTGTCATGCGACCCAAGGATCGTGGACATCGGTGGGATGGTAAAAGTATGATCGGGTTGTCCCGGCAACTGATTCTTCGCTACAAAATCCCAATGGAGACCGAGGAAGACTTTGCCATGCTTCTTCCATTCAAACTGGACTCTGTTAACGTCCAAAGCGTGGAGTTCAGAAATCCGAGCAGCTGTAGCCAAGGCCACAAGGAAGTAGGTCTTGAAGGAGATCTTCTCAAAGTCCTTCTGAGCTAGGGGTTCATAGTCTGAGGAGGCCAAATGATGCAGCACCGCAGATAAATCCCAAGCAGGAGGTCTAAACTTCTTAGACTGATCGGTCAACTTGAAGGACCCGGAGCAAATACTGAAGCTCAGGAACCGTGGAGACCTTAGAGCCTGTGGTGCTAGCCAGGACCGAGTTGATTGCAGCAAGGTAAGTGGCCAAAGTGGAACCCTTGAGCTTCTTAGACGACTGCAAATGCTAAAAAGAAACTCAGCGACGATTTGAGGCGAAGTAGAAACAGGAGATGTAATGCCTCTGGAAGTGCATATCTCTCAAAACATTTCCACTTCTCATCATAAAGTGAGTGGGTGAAAGTCCGATGAGCAAAAGTGATGGCCATAGCCACTCTCTGTGAATACCCCTTGGCGATTAAGGACTTCTGCAGATGCGCGCAAACGTGCAGAGACAGGGTGTGAAGGGATACATGACGCTGATCTCAGTGAGGGTGTAACAGCAGGTCGTCCCGATCGGGAAGAGGAACTGGATTTAGGTCTGTGAGCTGTGCGCGATCGACAAACCAACTCCTGACTGGCCAGTAAGGCGCGACCTAGTAGACCAGTAGAATCTGCCTGGTCGCTCGGAGTTTCTGGATGACTCTGGGTAGAAGGGCCGGAGGAGGAAAGGCGTTAGCGTTGAGTCCCTCCCACAAAATTGCCAGAGCATCGAGATCCCACACTAGCTGGTCTGGTATTGGCGAGACAAACTGCGGGTGTTGATGGTTGAACCGTGTGGCGAATAGGTCGACTTGGGGCCTTGATAACGGGAAGACCAGTTCCCGAAAGATCTGTGGGTTCAATTGCCACTCCGTGGGAGATGGCCGATCGGAGCGGGACAGCGCATCTGGGATGACATTCCTGACTCCGGGAATGTGTCTGGCTTGAGCATCCATGACGTTGGAGTCGATCAGATGGAAGAACTGAAACGACATCTGAAGAAGGTTCGCCGAACCCGTCGACCCGAGATGGTTGATGTACAAGACAACCGTGGAGTTGTCTGTCTGAATCAGCAGGGAGGACCCCGGAAGTTCTGTCGAATAGTGAGAAGAACCGCCAAGAACTCAAGTTCATTGATGTGCAAGTCCCGTTCTGCAGACGACCACAGCCCGGCTTTCTGAGTGAGACAAAAAGTTGTTCGTTGGAATGAACGGCACAAACGTTCTGTTCGACAAGCCACCACTGAAGAAAAGGACGTAAGGGTTGGAGGGCGAATCAACTGATTCTCTGAGACGAGATACGGACGCAGGAAACGCTGCAACGGACGCAGTTGTCCCCGCCGTGCCAATGCCTGTGCCAATGTCAAGAGGCCCAAAAGTTCCTGTCCTGTCCTGTCTTGTCCTGTCACTGTCCTGTTCTTGTGACGTCCTGGCCTGTGACAGTGCTGACGGAACTAGCCGTTGAATCTTCAGCCACCTGTCTTGGGGGACGAAAATCAGGCCCTGGTGCGTGTCGAAAGTTGCCCTGATAAATTGAAGGGTCTGGGTCGGTGTTAGTTCCGACTTCGCAGCGTATAACAACCAACCTAGTTGCCAGAGTAGTTTCGTGCTGAACTCCAACTGACGTAGAAGAACGACTGGGTCTCTCTGTGCCTGAATGCTGTGGTCTCTGTAACTTTCGAACACGACCCCGTGGAAATGAAGAAACCTGGTGATTGGCTTGGTGATTCTGGTAAATAGCCACGAGGCCGTGGAAATTCCATTGATAATGGGAATACAAATCGGAGGAATTTCCACGAATCCAAAAGAATGGGCACATGAAGATAAGCATCTTGAAGGTCTAGGCTGACAAGAAAATCCCCTTTCTTAAGGATGGTGCGAAGCAAGACAATAGATACCATCCAGAAGTGAGGTGGGCGCTGGATATAGTGGGCATTGAAAGGTTTCACGTTGAAAATGAGTCTTAGTTTTGCCGAATTTTTCTTGGGAACCAGAAAAATGGGGGAATAGAATCCCAGAGTGCTGGGCGCCGGACCGAGAGACTGGACTGCACATTTCTCTATGAGTGTACCTATGGTGGAGTGAAGAACCTGGACCTGGTCCGCCGGGTAGCTGCGGTGTACCGGATGCACTGTCAGCGGCGGGCGTCCGATGACAGGAAGGTGATAGCCTGTGGCGAGGAGGTCGGTCACGAAAGGATCATTTAGTATGGTCCAGTTGGGAGCCAACTTCCCCAGTCTCCTGCCCACTGGAGAGTCGTTAATGGGGATTGCTGGAGGCGGGAGTTCCCAGTCGTGCCATGGTTTCGACAAGTCACTGGTTGGAAGACGAATTCCGAGGAGGTGACTTGGAACGAAGAACCGATCTCAACGAAGCAGAGGGAGGCGTGTGCTAAGTTGAATGCGAACAAGTCAAAGAGTGGCGTCTCGGCGGTGAAGTAGACCTATCAGGTCAATCTGGTGAACAAATCCGAATAATAATAGGAGACTGATCCAGACGACTCGGTGAAAGCCGCGTCTGTGCTGAGGAGGCGTGACTGTAGGATCCAACAGAGTTCGGGGAAGTACTCAGAAAATCCGGAGAGATGCATTCCGCTGAATACCGCTTGGAACAAGGCCGTTTCGGCGAAAGTCTATTCACCACATGCTGTTTTGGTGAAGTCTTCCGTTTCGGCAAACATTGTTTCGACGAAGTCCGATTAGGTGAAATCTGTTTAGCAGGCGATCGATCCGGAGAAGCTGACTCTTAGACTGGTGTTTCGATGAAGACCGGTTCGGCGAAAGTTGTTTCGTAGAGAGCCGGTCTAGTTCTGGGGAAGGTGGACAGTCCGCCGAAAGTCAAGGTGGAAGGGAGCGGACAGGCGAAGCGTGATCCGACGAACTGTGATTCGATCTGGCAGGCTTCGGCGAAGCAGAAGATAAAGGTAGAGGGATGCAAGACACACTTCTTTTCACCAAATGGGAAGGAGACAGCAAAGTAACCACTGACAGGCATTGAGAGGCGAGGTAGAATGGTTCCTCTCACTACTGGATGAACGATGAGAGCGAGAACGGCTTCTGCGCATGCGCTTTGCGCAGTCAGGTGTAGAGATCAGCTGATTCTTGTCTGAAACAGATAAGCCAGGTTGCCGAGATAACTGGTCCGGTGAACGAGAGACAGAGAGCATAGTTCAAAGGTCCCACTGTGTAGAGGTATCCTGAGGGGTGGTAGCAGTCTCGACAACCACTAACCAGGACGTGGTCGAAGACGAAGGACTCGGGCTGGAATGTTGAGAGTCCAACAAATGCTGAATGTCTTCCGATAAGTAAAAATCTGACGACGCTCTCATGAAATCCTCTTCATTCGAGTGAGGGGACTGTGACCGCCGAGCAGACAAAGTAGGACGCTTAAACTTTCCTTTCTTGGAGGGACTGGGTCTGTCAAGTGAAGCGGCATAACGAGCCCTGTCAGCAACACAACGAGTGCAAGCCTGAGTGTAGTCACCAAACGCCTCAAAGGTAAGATCCTTGCATTTATCGCAACAAGAGTCCCATTTACACAGTCCTATACAGTCAACCCATGTGGATTACTTGCCGAGAACACTTTATTACACCAGGAGCATTTTTTCCTCTTATTTTGGCTGGTCAACTTTCCCCATGTTGTAGACTAAGTTGAAAATGTTGAGCAAAGTAAAATACGTCCACACTCGTGTGCGACAAGAAAGAGAATGATGATTCGGAGATAGTCACGTGGGCAGCTAGTGGTGCATGCTTTGCATGAGAGCTAGGAAGCTGTCTTATAATGAGGGTAGCATGGAGTGCTTGGGCCGATGGACAAGAGAGGCCTAGGGAAAAAAGTTTAGATCGTTCCACTCAGTGTCGAACCAAGAGAGAGAAGTGCATACCGTGAGATAGGAAAAGTTTGAAAATATGGTCTTCAATGAATAACAACAATCAATTACAGCATGTACTCTTCAAGAGATTTTACAGTAAGGTGTGTCAGCTAAATGTGCGAGGACACCTGTGTGATGCGGGTATTAATAGTTCAATTTTGATTAAATGAGCAAAGGTGTAGAGTGGACAAACCCAGAAACTACAGTTACAAGTCCCAATTACAGGATTCTAGTGTGCCCAAGGGAAGCATCTGCTCAACAAACTGCAGCAACTTAAGACTGCTGGATCAACTGTATTCCCCAATTATGAAAGATTTCAGTCAACACATACTGATGTAAAAAGGCATAACAACTACTCAAGACATGTGAAAATAGAGGTTTATATATCCATATACTCGTAAACCTGAAAAGGATGCTAACAGACATTCAACCTCGTTGACTGAAAGATTAGACAGAGACTACAAGATACATCTAACAAAAGCTTTGCTGATAACTGCTGTACCCTGAACCTGGTTGGGGTCAAGGACCTCAGAGGGCACAGGTGAATGATCCTACAAGTACACTCGTCCCTCCTGGCCCTGTTCCTCCTGCCCGTGGCCCCTGTAGTTGTTGTGGAGCTTGAAGTGCTTGAAGCGGTTGTTCTTGCGAGGGGAGCTTTCGTTGGACCACATGGATTACCTTGCCATGTACATCTGACAATTTGAAAAATGTTGATTACTCCAAGTTGATTTGATTCCTATTCTTGTGACATTATGGCTAAAGATTCTGACCATATTCTTGCACCATTAGATCTGGGTTAGAATTGGTCTTCACCAACCCATGCTTATTGGAAGAAGAAACTGACGGGATCAGTTTTCTCAGGCTTACTGACTTTGTGACATGTCATTGTATTAAACAAACAAAACTAAGGGTAAGGCAATAGGGTAACTGAATGTTGTTTTACGCTGAAGGTAGTAAAGATTCGCAAATGAAGTAAAGTATTTGGGACCCATTTTGCTCTAGTCTTTCCAAATAACAGGAAATATCAGTTCTGCACTTTCTGTGATGATTGCTAAAATGATTTTAGTAGATAGTAGGGCGGTGGGCTAGCCTAATGGTTAAAGTGTTGGCTCGTCACACCGAAGACCCGGGTTCGAATCCCCACATGGGTACAATGTGTGAAGCCCATTTCTGGTGTCCCCTGCCATGATGTTGCTGGAATATTGCTAAAAGCGGCGTAAAACCAAACTCAGTCAGTCAGTTTATTAGATAGTACACAGAAGCTAATTCTCACCGTAGTCTTTGAGCATCTTGTCATCTTGCATAACTTTCCCATGGAAGATCAGCCTCTGTGTGTCCGCTGGAATGTTCTGAAGAGACAACAAGCACTGAATATTTGTATCACTGTTTGATGTAGCCAAGCTGTATAACAGCAGCATCTGAATGCTCAAGTCTGGACCTGACCATCAAGTGATTGCAATCATGAGCAATGTTCATGCTATTTGATATTAAATTCATTCCTTTCATCTGTGAATAAATACAGTTATCATCAACTTGTCACTAATCAATGTTTTCCATTTATAACAATTTCTTGAGGTTATTTGAACATTTTCAGTGAAATATATACATAGTTTCTGGAATATACAGAGAAAAATACACCATACAAAATTGAGATGATGAAAATCCCCACACTGAATCTAAATCCCAATCTAAACTGAATAATTCTGCTTACAATTGAATTTGCGATCCTTTCTTTGAATTCTCGTACTGTAATCTGAAAAGCAAGCAGGATACACCATGATAGCATGTCAACACATATTTCTCTCATGGCCATAGAAACGGTATCAAAGTGACTAGTTCACATCAGATGGGTCAAAAACTAGATGAACCTAGTCTCCACAGTCCAGTCACTGTCACAAACATCCATCTTCAGGGTGTTCTGGATTGCAATTTGCAAATATTATTTACAGCAAGCATTATTTCTCATGATTTCAGCTGACAATTTTTAAATAAACTACAATGAACATTGTTGAGTTCTTGTAGGGTTCGTGCTGCCTCGAAGTATCCTGTCGATGTTAGGCTGACCAAGGTTACCTTGAAGATCACATATACTCTAGGGGGTTCAAATTAGTGGTGGTCCGATTAATTGAAATAATCGAAGATTGGTCGCAATGACTAAACGACCAAGCAATTGATCATGTTTCTCTTAATCGAACACAAACAATTTAGGAAGTTATACAACACTTGTTTGTAATAAGAATATATTTCACAAGGTTGGTTTTGTCTGTTACATTTCATAAGTGCTAAATGCTCGTTCCTAGTCATGATAGGAAATTGATGGTCCTAACAGACTAGTCATCCTTTAAGGATGTGAAAGTTGCAAATGCATTTTGTGCAATTTACAAAAAAATACATGGTTTTTCTTCTTTTTGGTGCATTAACAACACAAGGAGGAAAATTTGATAAATGACGCTAACCAATTATTTTCGATGATTGATCAGTTGTAAGAACCAATCATCAATTATGAGATTTTAACCAATTCCCAACATTAGTACACTAACTGGCATTGATATAAATGAAACCCCATCATTAAAACTACTCATGTCGATCTTTAATTAACTTAAATCGTTTTCACATGCAATTAAAATTGCACGCAATACAGCAATTAATACTCCCTTGTTGTAACCCGTGTTAGGTGGTATAAACCTGCACATGTTATTTGTCATCATTCACTTGATGGTCAGTTAATGAAATTATAACAGGTTTAATTAGTGGTAACACCACTTAGATTACCCAACAAAGGTTCCCATTTGGCATTTCTTGTGTCTGGAGTAAATACTCAACATTATAAACATCGATCAAAGGATTAACCGATAACACGCTGATTGATTAATTACTTTTATCTTACACAGCGGATTTGTCAAAAGTTAGTGTTTATGTATGTAGATTTACTAATCTATACTGAATACACTCTGTCGTGTCTGTGTCTGCGTAAAAACAACGTCCTTCTTTCAAAGGATTAACCGCCAATACATTGATTGATTGCTCATTATTGGCTAACTAAATTACTTTTTTGTAAAGAATGGCGGCATTATGCAATTAGTAGTTGCCAGGTATACTATCTTGGGTGACCAATGAGACTATACACCAATGTGAAATACCTGAAACGATATATCACTTTTCGTATATTAGACTGTTAAAAGATACATCACTTGGAACAGCTGCATATGAATGGCATATCACTTGTTTTTGTGGATATTGATGGATACATTCCTCGAACAAGGTAATAGCCTGAAATTGTTCCTACAACTTTAATCTGTTTTAATTTTAATATTTGCACTTTGTTTTTATTCATTTGTCGTAGCATTCAACAGAATCATTGTTTTCGCCGTGAAGTGTAATGAGACAGACAGCATACACTAGGGCATGTGTGCGAATTATCATTCACATTGGCAAACTATAAAATGTCTAGATATTACAGTCCTGTTATAAATTCACTATGAGTATCAACAGATCGTCTGCTGTTTTATTTAGTTTCAAAATGCATACAAGTATGATAATAAACTAATTAGGATTATAAGACCAAATATAAAGACGTACATTGACTAGGTATCTACATACTGGTGAGTGGGCGATAACCGTAATGAATGTAGCAAAGAAATTTATCTGCTTTTGTATTGTCGCCGATCCCACCTACCAAAGCTTCGTGGAGGAAATCATTAATGTTATAAGTTGTGTCATGCAAAATCCTTTTGGTCATGATTTAAATACATATTTAACTCTGCGAGTAGAAAGTAGTTTTGATTTTCTAACTTGATGAAAACAAACTATAATCTCATTAATTCAAACAGACTTTTTAGCCCGTGACTTCACGATTTTCAAAAATGGTGGCACATCCCACAGTCTGGAGTATAAATGCGGGGTTTTAGGTTTGTTTCACCGAGGAGTTAGAAAATCAAGAACTAAACAAATAATGTAAAAATGTATTTGATATGGCCAAGTTTTGCGGTTGCTTAGCTTATAGTTATAACAATTTCTCCACCGAAAGCTCAAAAGATTGGCAATTAGAAAATGATGGCGATAAGCCTACTTGATCCGTGGTGCCTAAAATCCCACTCCAACGAATGCCTATTAGCTCTGGCTTATAACATAACAATTTCTCTCTTGGAAGCAGTTGGAAGTCAATGGCAGCTGCTATTTTACAGCATCATTTATTTAGCCTTCATTCTTCCTTCCGGGAAAAAATGGATTATGTTACAAAGTTGTATTTGAAGAAAATCTTTCATGATTATCAATGTATACGCATATTTTAATACAACTAGTAAGTAGTTTTGATTCTTTAACCTTCCGTGCTTGAGTGATCAGAACACAAGTAAGATATGTGTGAGGCTTCCATAAGCAGCTCGCTTAGCACTTAGAAACGCCATAACCCATTGTAGCGAAGTAATGCATGGTACCCATTGCCGACCCGCCGAACAGTGGCGACAATGTAGCGGTCGGCATAATAGCTCGTTGATGTCATCATCAAAATGGCCGGGAAGCTTCCTACACATATATAAATAACTGAAAATCCTTTACTCATATGGCGTCACTGCGGGTGCTCTGGCGACAGAGTGCAGTAACCTGTCTGTGGTTTCCGTTGGCTGGCAAGGTGAAGTGAAGCAACTCTTTGGCAATTTTTTAATGTTTCGATTAATTAACCTACAAGGATTTTTTAACAGAATGAATTTGGTGTTCGCATAAGACTAACCACAAATTTTCATGTGTAATAGTTAAAGGTACAAAACAAAGTTTATTTGTTCTTTAAGGTTAACGCTTGTCTATAAAGTTTAAGCTAGAAAAGGTTAGTGATATGAGCGGGTATAAGATGGCGATTTCATGATGCCTTACTCATGCATGTTTCAGCTATTAAATGTCACATCAGTGTAGCGCCACACTTGGCTCTATTCCAGCACTGTGTGAGGAAGCGGTAAACAATAATAATCAAAAGCGATCATGATTGAAATTTCCAGCAGGAATCAATATCGATAATCTCAAGACCTACGTAATACCAAGTGTCTACAGGTATGACCATTCGATCCATAACCTTTTAGGACCTGGAGCTTGGGACCTTGTACAAAAATGTAATTTTTAATTTTATACTTATCTGACTCTCATGATCTTTGCCTTATCTCCCTTTCCCTTCCCGAAACCAGCTTGGCGAAAAGAAGGAGAAGAGTGATAGAAATAAGGCAGATCACCGTGTATTTTACGGAAAGAAGAAGTAAAGGGAGAATGTGTTAACTCATGGGTGAGTGTGTATATATATATATGTCGCCTTCAGGAATTCATCAAGTGTTCCACTACCATTCGAAAGGGAAAGAGAGATAAGCAAAGTCTGTAGGTCAAGTAAGTAAAAATAGACATTAATGATGAAATTTACCCATGGAGTCAGATCTTAAGAATGGACAAATAATACCAGAGTAAACATTTGGTCAAATGAGATTGAAATCTTCATTGTGTGTGGAGAAATGAAGTCAGTTTACACTTGGTCCCCCACTTACACAGTTTCGGGAGACTGTAGTTCTACTGCCGTCCAAACTCTGTCATCATCATCTTGGTATCTGGTGTCTGAAAATCAGTAACAAAATAACAGATGATTTTGCAATCTTTACATATTTTTATAAATATACATATCAGTAATGTATATTCAGAGAGAGAGAAGGCCATCATATGGAAGGCTTTATCAGACTGACGATATCTGTGGGTGCGAGGAAAAAAAACAATGGTATCTGAAAGCCTATTTTATTCAGTCGTGCAAAAAAATAGAAGTGCGGCGCAAATTCATTGTGTGTGCCAAAATTTATAAAGCACACCTGTATCATCTAGTACATACATGCTCAGTGACCTTATTTTCCGGATGTCTCAACGGCGCACACTCGTATCAATCTTAACTCCCGGGAATACAACTCTTAGCCGATTGCACCCGGTTATTGACTTTCTCATCTTCTGAGGAGGTACCCATTCACAGCTGGGCCAGGCGCTGGGACATGTGAGCTCCTTTAGTGGCATATTTAGAAGTTGGTAAGATCGAACGCTGGACAAACTTTTATGGATGAACAACTTCTTTTGTCCAGATGCAATGATACTTGGTTTTAGGTGAAAAAACACACTTTCTTTTAATATATAAGCGAACATCATTGAAAGCGCACCACTTATAAAGAGAAGTTCAGATTATTAAAAGCATGTGGCAAGGAATTGATATTTTTGATGGATAATAACAGACTGACAAAACAACAACAGAAAGAGCGGCTCATTCTGAAATGTTCACAGTGATCAGAAAGGATCAAACGATGAGGTCAAATCAAAAAGGAGTCAATATAAATGTACACTTCATTGCCAGCACAATGCAGTTCGCGATCTCATTGGTCGTAAAGCGTCGAATAGAGTTCTTGAGATGGCATTCCACTTCGTAGTGCAGCCTCAGTTCGGATGTTTTACATGTCGCCGCCAAGGGCTTTGACCAATTTTGTCCCTAAGTGCTCCATGGGGATACATCCTGGCGACTGGCCAGTATGCCTGGATTTGCTGGGCGAATGCTGCATGGAAAGTCTTGTATTGTGCCACGTCTTTGTTCTGTTGAAAAGTATTAATACTCGGTGATTGAAGTGTGATTCTGAAGAAAGAGGTACTCCGCGACGATAACTCGCGTGACGAACAAACGCACTCACATGTGATTTGTTTATTCCACCCCGGACCATGACTTCCACCTGCAATGGTCTGCAATATCTGAACCACTCTCATCGGCATATACTTCACCTTGCACCACGTCGGCGTCAGCATTATTGTTAGATGAAGGCGTAGTAGAGCTTACACCACACCATATGATGATGTAACCTTTACTGAAAATGCCTGCTGGCCCGACGTATGCATCATTACACACACAGTGTCTGTCCGGTCGAATTGGTCGGCGTATAAGGATGAGCATGGAGCCTTTCACCTTGATAATATGGACAATTTTACACCTGGTGCATTTTCAATGATGTTCAGTATATTATCGGAGTCAGATGGCATTCCAGAAGTACCGAGGAAGGTTGATGTCGTAACGCTGGCGGATATGATGAAACGCCGGCGGCGCATATGCGGGAACAGCGAAGTAATAATAAGACAACAAAGATGGGCTAAACAATGATTGACGTAATGATTGTAAAAGGACAAATTCAGGAAATAATAGCCTCATAGCATTCATTCGCGGGTAAGGATATATGCTCTGAAATGATTTGATGATCATACCAGTTGACGACTTCTTAAAACCAGTGTTCCGCGAATGGTGTTTCAAAGTATGTATTGGGTCCTGGCTTCAACTGTGTCTGACCATTGAAGATTCATTGAATAAAATTAAGCATGTCAGGTTAACATTTCGCCTGCTAATTGGTGTTATTAACAAACATATAAGATTTATACAAGCAACCAGTGTCCACGCTGTCACATATACTCTTAACTTCAGTCCAGTCATCATTGGTAAAATATATGAAGTCAGACGCACTGGCCAGCGTTGAACTCTATCAGACGCTGCGTCTGCGGTTGTCGGGGTCAGGCGCTGTTGAACACTGTAAAATGGTATATGCACTATGGCGGAAGAAAGACAGCCCATCTCTCTATATCTTTATAACAGAAATGGTGTGTGCCCCACAGTGGCTGTAGTTACAATGCAAAACGTGATCAGCAATAGCGATACCTGCTGCTGCTTTTCGTATTAAATGCATGAAATGGTCTCAGAGCTCTTCTCCACTTTCCATCTGTGGGTTCGAACCATATAGTGTGTTCAGTTTCTGCGCTGCTTTTAATTCAGCATATAATATCACTGCAGGTTACGCAGAAATATGGTATCTGCGCTTTTGTGCCTGAGGAGAATGGTGCTTGGTCTTGTATTGAGCTGACCTGGTATCCCCCATGTGCCAATTTATGGCGTTACTTATGGTGGCGATGCGGTGCGCATGGGACCCTGTTTCCAAACCATCAGTATTATGATTCATTTACCATGTTTACCACTTAAAATCGGTGCTCCCCAGCACTGCAGGAATTACCACAGTGACACATGGGCAAAGTATATTTGTTTGTCACATATTAATATTGGTATTACGAAGGGTTGTAATAATAATAATAATTCGTAACTGTGAATTCTGCTGATTTACCCAATGTGACGACATACATTTATTTTTAGTTCAGTCATTTGCCATTACATAGAAGCGTTTTTATTGGTATTTTTACGCGAAATTGTTAAAATACATTACCTGGACGTCAGTCATGTTTGTGTGTGTCAGTTCGGTCAATGCATTCTATCTATTAAATTTCAGGTTAGGTCGTTAGGGTTGAGGACCTAAATCCAATAGTGATGTCGGTTAATATGTGAGTACCATTTGTTGTTTCTTTTTACTGCGGTTGGTCGGCCTTCTGTTATTATTTTCAAGGGAGGTTAGGGCTTAGGAGGAAGGCAGGAGGTTAGGGACTAATCCAATATAGTTGGCCGATTGTAGCAATCACGTGAATTACCATTTGTTGTTTTCCTTTTGCATTTTAATACCTTTTTTCACACAAAAAGCAGAGGAGGAAACCAAAAAGCGTCGAAAATGCCACCCGTACACTATATGAAATGGTTTAATGTAGAAATTTACACTGGTCTAATGGAAGTGGCCTGGAATTTCCCTCAAGCCTCTTTCTGCAACATAATTTTGTTCAGTAATAATTGGTATTGCTTCACCCTCGTGCCGTCACTACACATGCTCATGTGTCCCTCTCGTTAAGTTAGTCACGATCATTATCCTTGATGTTCCCACATCACCTTTTCTGTCACAAAATCACCCGATTTTTTTTATATAAAGCGCGTCATTCATGCATGCTGCCGTGAAATCACGATCTGTTGCCAGCGTCAACAGCCTTTTCAGTTTGGAGGCATATAAATGAGTCCGCGTTATCTTGCAGATTTTAAATGGGGTGAGTGTGTGCTTATATCCATTCGACGGTGATTATCAAGATTAAAATCACGAACACCAAGTCATATCCGTAACGCCGTAATGGTGTCTGTGTCGACTCTTTCCGTTCATTTCCGTGGCGTCTAAGGAATGACTTCGATAAATTGCACATTGCAGCAGTGTGGATAGTCGGTTAGCTGTCGAGCCTAACAATCCAGTAGATTACCATCGACAGGTTGTGATAATATTGTGTTGATGACTGACTGGTGATTTCTGGCAGCTTTTAGCAATATTCCAGCAACATCCGTGGGGACACCAGAAATGGGCATTGTGTGTGGGGATTGAACCGTCTTCGTGGCAATTAGCAGCTTTGCTCATTAGGCTACTTAGCCCGTCTTAATGACCTCGTGACGAGAGATATAGATCGCGGAAGGGCGTTATGGTGCTGTATTCTCCGTGTGATTTCTGTAATGATACATATGAAAATATCTTATTTGGATTGGTCATAGGTACCAAATCCTTTATATGGTCTGGTGCCACAATGTGGTGAATTAGTTGAAGAGGATACTAGGGGTGTTACGCCTTGTTGACCTAATAAACTCACACATACCTAGGTTAATAATAAAGGGAGATGAAGGTTAATACCCACCCTCCTCTTTAAACCAACACCGCTAGCATTTCGATCTGGGGACATGACGTAAAACTGGTGATCAGAAAGAACATAAGTGACAAACATAAAGCCTTCATTCTGCACTCCACTAGAACACCTTGAGTATATGAACATTGAGACTGTCCAATAAATGGATCAACATGCGATGGAATATCAATTCAATGTTGTGTACTTGTGATTTAAATAACAAACATACTAGTTCAACATGCCGCTGTGTTTCCTTCTATTTTGGAATTTGCTTTGTGCCCAGCCTGAGTCTGGTGAAAACCAGCAACTCCGGATCATGTATCTCAATTTCCATGGAACAGCTAACAAACTCTAGCATGGATATAGTTGAAATTACATAATATTACCAAACACACCCCAAATCATGAATTTCTCCGTAGTTTCTCTTTCTCTGTAGAATAATGGACAGCCGTATGAGAGCAGAAATATATATATAAACTCTCACATTGCTGCGATGAATGCGTCTACTTCTTTCTAGAACAACACTGTGTGGATACACGAATTCTACCCATATCCGGTCGCACCTATTACCATTTGTTAACAATTATAGGTTTTATAATGAATGGTAATTTATCGGCAGGATAGCTAGTGGTTTGAATAATAGTCAGTAACATATTCTGTTAAAGAACAAGTAACTTTCATCACATCAACTTCCGGCAGATATTGCATTCATCATATTGCGGCACAGAGCAACAAGAGCTCCCTGAAACTTTACCCTATCTAGGCACTTTTCAATTATATTTTATTGAATGGCCACAGCGTGTGACTTTGAGGGAAGTCGTAACCATTAAGAAGCACAGGGACAGCTAGGAAGAAACGAAGACGAAGAACATGTATCCTAAAAAAATGATGGTGAAGAGCTACGTCTTGTTGTTTACGTTGATCAGTTTGTTGTTTCTGTTTCAAACCATATGACAGTGTTGCGTTCAGTTCAAGGTTAAACATCCAATTTTTAATGGTAATAGACATTTTTATTTACA